CACTGTCTTACGCTTCGGGTACGGAACGTCCCCGGGAGAGGGCCTGAAACCCCGAGACTCCAATATCCTTTAATTAAGAAATATACCTTAAATTACAGTAGGATTCCAAATATGATTTAAGGAATACTCCTTGATTAACGGATATTGGAGTCTCTGGGAAGCCTTCAACCCCACCCCTGAGCGCGAGGCCATCTGGGACCGTGATGGGAGCGGAGGGCCTTTGGCGAGCGGAGGACAAGGATGATGGGAATCATGATGTTGATGGTGAAGTGTGACAATGACGGTAATGAGCTTGATTACAGTTGATTATAGTAGTGGTGGTGATGACGAACATGCTGATGACTTACCACTCACGTTCCATCTTCATCGCGCTATTCGCATTGGTCCCTCACCCCAAGTCTTGAAGGTGCAGCTGGTCGCATCTGCTGTGCATACACAAGTCCAAAAACATCGTCGTTGCTATGTGGCTTTGCACGAACTCCCCGCTGTTCCTGCAATAACTGTCATCAACATGTGGGTAGTTGTCGAAATTAGGGTCCCTTTTTGGGTCCTTGATATTATACGGCACCTATTATTTAGTGTACCCAGACCCATGTGGAAAACGTATAAACTGCGAAGACCAACTCAGGCTGGCAAAGCTCCGTTTTGACACACCAGTCGCCGAGGCGATTGCAGTACGTGCCCTCTTAAAGGCGAACCTAGATTCGGCATGGCTCGTCGCCGCGGTAGTGATAAGCCTGTCCAGGCAATGTGCCTGCGCCTTTTTTGTGACACTTTGCCGGGCAGCTGCTGGTTGATTTCAAAGTGATTTCTGATGTCGCCCCGTCTTTTTCAGGACAGACGCAGCAGATCCAGCCGAGGTTCTTTCTCTCGGCGGTGAGGTCCTCCGCCACGGTGCCATCTTGCCGCATTGCCCCAGCGAGACTCGCAGGACCGGCCCACAGCGCCATGGCCAGCAAGAGCGTGCAGCGCATCCTTCTAGATGTGGCAGGCGACGGCAAGGATTGCTGGATTGAGGCTGAAATGTGCTGCAGCTCGGGGATCCTCTGTTGGATATTCCTGAAGGACCCTTAAAGATGGGAAAACATCTCAGGGTCGGAGGTGAGGTGCTGGGTTTGTTCATACATTTCAGAAGCATAACCACAAACCACCACATGTATCCTAATTCCTCTGCACAACCCATACGCTCCATAGTAGTTCCTTTTTGTGGTTTATATTTAGGTACTCACAAAAAGGAACTGCAGTGGAGCCTATGGGTAGGCCCTTGTCGATGCTTAAAGGCGCTCGTTCTCGCTCAGAACAAGAAGTTCGCAGGTCGCCCCCCCCCCCCCCCCGCACCCTAACAGAGAGGGTAATATGAGGGCCTTGATAATCAGCATAGGGTTTGGGGCAGATTACATCATAGCTCTAATGAGGGGCCCCGACAGTATGTCGAAATCCCTGCTGCCCCAGTGACACTCCCTCTCTAGTCAGGACTCCGAAAGACCACACACTGAGAACCTGGCTGCTGTGACCGCTCGGGCGTCTGCACGGAGCAGCGGCTCAGTTTCGAGGCTTCGCAGGGAAAGCCCGAACCCGGAACCCTAAAATAGGGGCCTCAGCAATTAGAACAGGGCTTTGGGGGGATAGTATACTGTACTTATATTAAGTAGGACTCAGGGTTTGGGTTTGAGGATTTGTCGAAGTCACACAAGGCTGTGGGACCAGAAAACATGGCAGCCTGAGCCTCCAAATCCTTTGTTGGAGGCCCGGCCCCTGAAAAGCCAAACAGGAGTCCTGGGGTGTTGTTTATTAGGGTTCCTTTAAAGGGATCTATATGGGGTTACTATAAGGGGTCTATAAGGGTACTATAACACTGTAGGAACCTGACTAAGGTTGTTCAAAGGGGAAAGGAGGGACCCTTAATGGGGACCCCTGGGTCCCTATAATGGGCTATTTAATGGGTATATAGTAGCTATATTAAGGGTATATACCCAGGGGTCCTTATTACGGGTCCCTCCTTTTAGCTCCCACCAAGCAGGACTCTCGTTGTAAGGAACTCTGAAGGTAAAGTCCTAAACGGAAGTATGGGATCTCATGTAAAGAGAACCCCTTCCACGATACCCCAAACCCTGGACCCTTAAACCCCAAACCTTAAACCCTGAAATACAGATATGGGGGTTTCCGAAAATAGGGGACCCCAGTATGGCATCCTAAATAGTAGGATCCTTATTATAAGGACCCCACCATAAGGTACCCCTAATTTTCGGAAACTCCCATGGAGCCTCAAAGGGTCCGGTCTTCGCCGCGAAGGCGGGCGGCTGGCTGGGTCCACCCCAGTGGGGGGGCGGGGCACCTCACGGTTTAGGGTTGAGGGTTTTTTTTTGTTTTAAGCGCCCCTCGAAAATAGGGTTGAGGGTTTTTTTTTGTTTTAAGCGCCCCTCGAAAATAGGGTTGAGGGTTTAGGGTCTAGGGTATCTAACTCAAGCATTTTCACAACTTCCTACAGGGTGCTGTTGCTTCGTTTTGATGGTTTTTGTGAGCATTCTCCAAGGTTGCAAAAGACTTCGGGCTGCAGGGGTGCAGGCCCCTGACTTGCTTTAGTTGATAACTACTGGGCTGCTTGGGTTCCGAAAACGGCTTGGGTTTACGGCTCAGGGCTTTTTAGGCTCGGTAAGGCATACAGGGTTTGTAAAATCCCCATGCTTACGGAATACTCCATAAGTAGCCCTTCGTCAGAAGTCCTTCTGTAAGGGAGCTATCACACCAAAACCCACACAGGCCTCAATCAAGTCACCTGGCCTTTTTGATTGGCGAAGGTGTGGTAAAAAGCGCTTGTAGGGTTTGGGGGTGGCTTACTGGCTTACCATCCGAAGTTGGGTGCTGGGAGACGTGAGGGGCAGGGGGCTCCAAGGATAAATGCCATGTCAGCCCCGAACCCTACACAACCACCTGCTAACCCATGACCCGAAACCCTGAACAACCGGCGATGCGCAGTGTAGGATGCGCCTCCACCCGAGACGCTGCCTCCCCAGTGGTTCGGTGGCGCTGTTGGGGGCGTCCAGGTGCCTCCGAGCGTCGCTCGGATCCCGGCTTTGAGGTTGACTGAGGGGTCTGCTTATTTGGGCTTTTACGTAACGAGGGAGAAAAACTATATAAACGTTTACTTCACAATGGTTCCTTTCAGAAAAAATATTAAAATCTGGAACTCCCGTGCATGGTTTCCATGCGCGTCTTGAGGGGTTTTTGACCTTCAAGGGTTGTTACACTGTTACACGACTTTGAAGGATTTTGGATCGTTGTAACGAGTGTGAGGCAAACGGTGAATCTAAACTGTTATCCGCTTCGCTTTTGGTACTTTAATTTTAAGGCTGCTGACGGATCAAAACAAAACTTCTGGGGTTGCAGAGCTTACAATACAAGTTGACTGGTTTTGCTATCAGTGCCACGCGTTGGGGCTTAGACCGTTTGATTGATTGATTGATTGATTGATTGATCGATCGATTGATTGATTGATGGACTGCCTGATGTTGCAAGGCAGCAGCGACTGCTCCGTGCTGTATGACTCTACTCTGTAAGAGAGTTAGGTGGGGCTAACCCTACAGCCTATAGATTAGAAGGGGCCCCCACCCTGTAATAGTGACTATAAGGATTATATCAGGGCCTTATCATATTCCTATTATACCACTATGACAGGGTGGGGGCCCGTTCTAACCTATGGATGGTTTGAGGGGTGAAGCTCTCATAGTTTACAATTCAAAATTTTCGGTGCCAGGACCTCCAAACCAGGTAGCTTTGAGGCTGACCCCTACCCGAAGCTCCGAACCGCAAGAGACCCCGAAGGGGTCCCCGGTATGGTACTTCTATACCGACCTGGCGGAGAGCGGAGACGGAGCTGCGGTGACCGGCGGTGACCCCACAGCCCTGAATCAAAACAACCCGAAACACAGTTAAGGTCGAACCCTCTGAACTGTAAACCCTCCACCATAAATCCTGAGGTCCTAAACCCCACCACATATCCTGAGGTCCTAAACCCTCCACCATAAATCCTGAGGCCCCAAACCCTATATTACAGAGCCATAATATCGGCCCGGCCCAGGGTTCGAGCTTCAAATCTCAAGGCTCAGAACTTCGAAGCTAAAAGCTTTAGTCATAGGAGTTTAGGGTTTAGGGTTAAGAGGGTCCCCCCTCGGGTGCCCCCCCCAAAGCAATAAATCTCAGTAACGGCTGGGCCTTTGCGAGGCAGACAACAAGAGGGCTTATCGAGAGGTTGTGTTGTTTCTGCATAAATCCTCATTTTGAAGTACAAGACCCCGCAAACCCCAATGGAACCAACCCTGATTCAAGGTAAGCCTCAATAAGCCCTCAATAGGTTTGCTGCTGCTCAAGCGTCTCTAGACTAGATAGACTCGGGCCACCACTACAGCAGAATTCCATCAGATCTCACAGGCCCCAGCCTGAGCTATGCGTTGAATCTGAGCAATATAGATCCACACTGAGCATAAGCCCTATTAAGACTGATTGGGGCTTATTTATTAACCCTTAACACGGCCTAAGAGTGCTTGTTTAATAGCCCTTAATAGCCCTTAACCGCTCTAAATCTATTTTCTCTAGAGCAGGGTTGCGTTGGGGGGCCCCCGAGGGGAGACCCTCTTAAACAGCTAAGGCTTCGGCCCATAAATCCCAAAACCCGTACACCGCAAAGCCTAGACTTTAAAGCCTGATAGCATCCTCCAGCAAACCCTCCAAACTCCGGAAACGCCCTTGGTAGCTTTACAAGAACCCGTGAATTAGCCTCAAAACCCTCAAACCCCAAACCCTACACGTTAAACCCAGCCCTCAACGCCTGGCGCAGGCGTTCCGGCGGGGCCTGGAAGGGAACAAACGTCCACGTCAGGGCTTCAGGCTTGAGGACGCTCGGCTGCACGGGTACCCCCACTTTTGCTCGGGACTTCTTTGCTTTTGGCTGCAACTGCCCATGAAGATTCGTCACGGCCTGATACCAGGCTGGGTGGATCTGTTCAACAGGCAGCTAGTCTGCTGAGTAGTGCAGGAGGAGTGCAGGAGGAGTCGGTCGACTGCTCCAGTTGCCGGTAGGCACACTCTTGCAGGATCGCGGAGGCATGCTCCACGTGGGGCAGGTCCTGCTCGAGCAAGCGCTCCCGTATGTCCTCGAGATCTCTGGGTCCTTGTACATGCTGCCAGAAGGTGGCATGATCTTGAACTTGCCATTCTGGGTACTTCTCGCTCAACTCTTCCACGAACTCGCCGGTCCCCATCTCAGAGGGGCCCAAGTCTAAACGGAATGTCCGGATCCGTAACAACTCCGATACCGGTGCCTCAATAGAATTCAGGAATATTGTCCCGGATACGAAGCAGGACAGTCCAGTAAACCACCAGTTCCAGCTTTGTGCCAGAATCTGCATCTTCGCGGGGGTCTGCCCAAACAGATCGCGCAAGGTTGCGAGGCTACCCAAAGCACATATGCCTGCAAAAACTAAACTACCACTACGTCGCTTCTTAACGAAACTGTCATAGCAGCATTTCACAAACACCAGGGGAGGAGCAGCTGATGCCAGAAGGCATCCAGCTTTTAAGAGACCAACTATCCTGAAAGACCATTCCTTCGACATCGTCACCTGCAAAAGCTTTCGGAACAGGGGGCCTGCGACATGGGCATCACGAAAAACCTCATGGAGACACCCTCACAAATCGCGAGTATATCCAACAGACTACTGTATCTATCCAGTACTCGAAAGGGAAGCGGAGGCTGCCCTTCCTGTGACAAGCTCCGGTCGCCGCAGACGCTCACCGCGAGCAACGATGCTGTTGGGCGCTGGCGGGCTGTGGCACTGACAATTCTGAATGGAACATCGTACGACACTGCATACAAGTAGTCGCCATGCACCAATGCCAAGCGCAAGCTTCTCAATTTGCTCCGTGCTGTCCAATAAAGCAGACATGGTGTAAGTACAACGAGCAAAATATCCATCTCCCCCAATTGATAATAGCAGGCACGACACTTGTCTTCACTGCCGGATGAGGTGAATACCTGCGCGGCGCCGGCCGCCCACAGCATCGACAACATTGCTGCACCTGCCTGAAAGCACCACGCCACAATCCCTATAAGCATGGTCCGGGACTCGTGAACACCGCCTAGCAAGGCACCGTCATGAACGATCTTCAGCAGAGTCCACATCCCGATGCAGACTAGACAAGCGAGTCGGGAAAATCCCGCCCGAAGGTGGTTGTGAATGTGAGCACGCACGCCCGGGCTGTCGCAGTATGTGTGGTCCACTTCTTGCGTGCACGCGAACTCCTCCTTGGAGCTCCAAACGTTGGCAAGCGCTGCCGGGCTAGCTGGATACGTATAAAAAATGCACAAAGGACCGGAGTTAACCACTAATGCATACCACAGAGAGAAGAAAGACTCAGATCCACGCACCGCTGCCTGCAGGTGCAAAAAGAAGTCAAGAGGCGGTGGGCTCGCCGCCTCAACACCTAGCCCGTTGCGAACTGTCACAAATGTAGGAGAACCAGGCGCCCATGTCCTCACCGCAGTATTGTTCTTGAAGTTGAATTTGACGTCATTCGAGCGGTTCAACGCAGAGAAGCTGGTTTCCGGCAGGCCGTGGCTTCCTAGGAAGCGAATGAAGGTGCATTGACCTTCCGGGCCGCATGCCTCATACTGGTCGGGGTCATGTTCCTTCAACATCACGGCGGCAAAGGGATATGAGCCCAGGAGAGTGAGGACGGCGCATTCCAGAAATGCAAACACGGACATGAAGCAGACTCACTGCAAGACGGCTGAAACTGGGCGATGTCTCTCAAAGACGCGGCGAGTTCTTGGGCCAAGAGGTAAGGTATGGACTTCCAGGCGTGCAAACACACACACACACACAATTCCACTTCACTTGGGTTGGCAAAGACACATTCATAAAAACCTTCCAGTCAACAGTTCCCACACGAAAACCCTAAAAGTGTTCCAAATCATGTGCTACATAAATATACATTGCCCCGGAAATGGTAGTCTCAGCATGCAGATGGGCACCAGAAGTTCAACCATATGCCTGATTGTCGTGTGTTTACAGTTCAGGCTTCAGTGGCAGCGCGATTTAAAACCTCAACCCAAACCCCTCCGAGGGCAGTACCACCTCGCCAGTCCATGTGTGGCTCCGGGCGAGGCGGGGGCACGTGCCAGGCTCCGTAGCCTTCCGCTTTAGGAATGCAGGCTGGGCCTCGGGGTTGAGGTCTTGAGGGCCAGAGTTCGAGGTTCAAGGTTTAGTTTAGGCTTGCTGATGAGGAGAGAGTTCTGATGCCATATGCTGTAAATTCTGCACCGAATCCGCAACGCAGAACCTCCAAAACAAAACCCCTCCGTGATGGGTTTATGCAAACGCAGATCCCCAAACAGTGAAAGAGCAGCACGACGTTTTGCCGGGTCGATGCGCTCACGCGCGTGCGTGCGCGTGCCGTGTGGGCACTTAAACTATCCTCATGCAAGAACGTCCCACAATGTTTGGGTAAGATTCCTGAAAAGACCATGTGAATCCTGAGCACCCTCATAAAACCTGCATCAACCCCTTGTGACTATACAACGAAGGGCCTCGAACTAAGGTTAGTATACCTGAAGCTTGCTGAAGTTGTTTGACGCTTGCCTGCCATTGGCGGCCGAGATGGAAACATGGGGCGGTGTGGCGGCCACATGTGGCCATGGGGCGCATACCTTGACGATAGGCGTAGGGCTCGGGGAGCTTTTGGGCATCCAAGCTCCGGGGTTTGGGGTTTTGGTTGCGATGTATCAGGATCAACAGTTCTGAAGGGAGGGTTCAAGCAGAAACATTGCCTGGGTGGGGAGTGTCAGAAATTCAGAAAGTAAGGGACCCTGGTTTAGAAGGACCTCAGTTCAACGGGCCCACACATCAGGGGTCCCCGACAGCCTGAATTTCCGCTTGTACGCAGGGGCTTCATGACAAGAAACCCCGACAAGCGCAGGTCTTCTGGGCTGCAAAGGATTCATGCGCTAGGCTGTCTTAGAAGGGGCCCCCACCCTGTAATAGTGACTATAAGGATATATAAGGATGATACTGAGGCCCTAATATATTCCTATTATACTACAGGGTGGGGGCCCCTTCCAAGGGCTGTCCTTGCTTGGGCAAGTCACCCGGGCCACTCCATGGGTGGGCCGCTACGCCAATCCTGGCGATACACAGCGAGCGCTTCGTCTTCGACGTTCAGATGGCACGAACGGATTCTTTTTAGGGCTTCTAGGCTTCAACTGTGTTGACATGTCTTGCGACTGCTGGGATCCAGTGCTTCAGCTCGGGGTTTATAGCTTCGAAACCCCAAACGGCTACCTCGAAACCATGCACCTTTTCGTAGCTTTGAGGTTTACCGACGACATCGCGAAACAGGCTTCGGTGTGGTATGTGGTATAAGGGAGCCTAGTGTCATGGTTTAGGGTGCGTCAAGAAACCTCTACGCTTGCGCTTGGGGTTGAAGGCTTGGGGGTCCAGGGTTGAGAAGTTGACACACAGGCAGCAAAGTTATCCTTTGTCTACCCGAAAGCACCACAACAAATTCATCTGGACATGATTGCCTGGACCAAAGAACGCCAGGATCGCTGTACAGGCGAGGCCACTTGCAACAGAACTGCAGGAAGCTTCCGGAAAGCTCCCGGGGACTCCAAGCTCAAAGCTCCCAGAATTAGAACCACCCAAACCCGGCTGCAGCCTCGAAAAAGCCCTGGAGTTTGGTGTTTGTTTTAAGATGCAATGGTGTTTAGGGTTTGGTGTTTAAGGTGTAGGGTTGTTAGGGCCTAAAGCCCAAAACTCGTCTAAGGCTATATAACCAGGACCTGCAAAACTCACCCCAAAACCCTGGAAACCTAGAACAGTAACCACAGGGGCTCACAGGGGACATAATATCATCCCGGTAATTTCTGTCTGTATCTGTATAGAATGTGTATAGATATATGTATGTGTTATATGTGTGCGTAATCCTCTTTGTGTTTTTGTTGATTTTTATTTGTCTAAACATAGTTATATTTATATTTATATATACATATGTGTTTATATATATATATATATATATATATAGATTTGCACATATATATATATATACATAACTCATCTGTGTCTATGTGCACGTAACCGTACCTCACATGAAGCCGAAACTGCCGCCAGCTGCCTGGGGCGGTGGCGCCCTCCCTGGGCTGCGCCGGCGCCGAGAACGGCTCCGCGATCTTCGCCTTGCGGAGAGCTGTGGAACTTTGAGGAAGTAGGAGTTAGAGTGTAGGGGTTAGGGAATATGGTTTAGGGTTTAGGAAGTTTGGGTGTTTTTTTTGAAGGCCTTTTCTGTCGGTTGAGGGTTTAGAAAGTTTAGGGTTTAGGGTTTAGGGATTAGGGTTTCGGGTTTAGGAAGTTTGGGGGTTAGGGTTTAAGAAGTTTAGGGCTTTGTGGATTCTTTAATACAAAAAGGCAATAGCTCTTTCTCCACATTGCCTGCAGTTCGAAAGCCTGCCTCGTAAGGCTCTTGACTAATTAACTGGCCCTCACTTCACCATCAATCGAATCAACATCGTCATCAGACCACTTCTCAGTCTCCAGCTTCAAACAGAGTGCCATCATGCCTGGGTTCTCCGAAGCCTCATCACGACTGCGACTTCGCTCACGGACACGATCACATGGACGAGAGTTTTGCCCAGACGAAGCAGCTGACCCATCACCAACATCACCCTCAAGGGATCTGGGCCTTGAATGCCGCGTGTCACCATCGTGCTCGCGGCGCCGCCGCCTGCGCCCGAATTTCGGTTTCAGGGTTTGGAGTCTGGGGCTTTACCCGGGTCTCCGCTGCCCTCAAGAACTAGTAACGGTACAGTAGTACTAAAGTAGTACTACCGTAGTAGTACTTCAGAAACAAAAAGACCACCGTAGTAAAACTCAGTTGTACTGTGCTTGTACTTTGGTAGTAACGGCTGTTACTGTAGCAGTTCTACAGCACTACCGTAGTACTACTAAAGATCCACTACGGTACTACTTTTGGACTGCTGGAGTGGTACTACTTTGGTACTACTATAGTACTACTCGAGTACTACTACGGTACTACTGTAGCAGTACTACGACAACGTCATAGTCGTACTATGGTATACTGCTACAATAATGTAATAATGCTACACTGGCTTTAGCTGTATTATGGTAGCACTAGCAATATTTGCAACAGCGGTAGTCGTCACCGTAGTTGGAGTCGGAGCGTACCTGCAGTTGGAATAGGAGTAGGAGTCATGCGAGGGAGCAATAGCACTAGCAGTAGCGCTAGCAGCAGCAGAAGTGGCAGCAATTGGTAGCAGTAGAAGCAGTCGCCGTGGTGGAGCAGCACTAGCGGTAGTGCTGCTAATGGTAGTTGTAACAGCAGTAGTAGCACCATGGGCAGACCGCCTCCTGCCGTCGTCCCGATCCCGCCCCGGCGCTGGGACAAGCGTCAAGCCGCCCTCCATAGTCAAAATCCTACGGCGAAAGAAGCCCTCTAGGAATCAAACTGGTCGTAGGCATATCCCTGCCACCATCCACATTATGTAAGCCAGGGCGGCGGCCTTCATACTAGGAACTGTTAGGATCTTCTTGGGAGCTACTGTGTTTCTACGCGGCTCCGCGAAGGTCCCGCGGCTTGGGTTCGGGGAGTCACATGGCCGTTCCCTGTGGAGAGCTCCAAGCGAACGGAGGGTCCGAGCCTTACAAACCAGAGCCTCGGCTTGAACCTCGCAGACCCTGAAGAGTACTCGCAGCAGTAAGGATAACAATGCTTAGCGCTGCGCCATGACCAAAAAACAGGGGACACTAACCAGAATAAGAATAACTCCATCGAAACTGCTTCCGACAAGCCCCACCATACCCCTTGTCATGCTTTGAGCATGTCAGCGGCGGTTGCGGCAGCTTCGATGCATCTGCTTTGAAGGGTCTACGGTGCCCACATCGAGGTTTAGGGCTAGATTGGCGAGATTCCGGTGGTGCCGCGAAGAAAGCCTGTGGTTGAGGTGCTGCGGCTTGGCTCATCACGGTCTCACGAGCCTTCACTTCGCAACGCTTCAAGTTCAAGCCTTCGGCTGTTGGACTCCGGGTTTGGGAGTTAAAGGTTTTGATTCAAGGTTAGGGCTGCTAAGGTGCTTAGTTTGCTTCGTTGAAATGAAAGGGTTTCGCACCGGGGCTTAGCATTTTTGCACAGATAAACAGGCGGAGTTTTGGCGGCCAACGGGATCTGTGTATTACCAGAAGAGGAGGCGCGCGAACAGACCTGATCCGGCCGACTTAGGACCCGGAACCCAGAGAGCCCAATACCCCTCAACTAAGGAATATAGCTCAAATCATAATATGACTCCCCTTGTAATTTCAGATATATTCCTTCATTAAGGGGTCTTGGGCTCTCCGGGAAAGAACTTCAGCATGCCACGGGCCGGCCGCGGCTTCCTAGCAGCAGGCAAACCCAATCCCGAAAGGCACCCAAACCTAAACAGTGTAGGGGTTTAGGGTTTAGGGTTGTTTACGGTTTAGGGGTTTAGGGTTTAGGGTTGTTTACGGTTTAGGGCTTAGGGCTTTAGGGTTCAGGGTTGTTTACGGTTTAGGGTTTAGGGCTTTAGGGTTTTAAACCCTAAACTTTAGGGTGTCAGGGTTTAACCGCTGACCTCTTGGCCCTAAGCCCTGAACAGCCCCAAAGTCCGAAACTCTCATAGAACCCTGATAACCCACCTCATAGCCACCCCTGTCGTATTCTTTATGATACTGCTTCCCAAACAAGTTCGAGTGCCGACTGTCACTCTGGGCAGCTCTTTTTCGTCTCCGACACAGGGCCGTCGTCCAGCGAGAACGACACCTTATGCCGCATGCTGTGGACCCGTTTTGCAAGGGCCGGAGTTTAGGATTCTGGGATTCTAATAAGGACCCTAGGTATATACCCTTAATATTATAGCTATGATATATCCATTATATAGCCCATCATAGGGTAGAGAGCGCTTTGGGGGTTTGAAACTTCTTGTGCGGGGCCCAAGCACCTCTTCGGCTAGGCAGCTGATTTTGCAAGGTCGTTTCTACATGAGAGTTTCCGAAAATTAGGGGTACCTTTAAGGGAATCTATAAAGGTATCCTTTAAAGGTTCCTATAAGGGTTCCTATAAGGGATCTATAGGGTTTAGGGTTTAACATTGTGGCATCGCTCCAGAACCCCAAGCCGAACCCTGCACTTCAACCCGGGACGCATTCGAGACATCGAAACCCTAAACCCAAAAAGGGTTTAGGGTTTAGGGTTTAGGGTTAATCAAAACCCGCAGTTCTAAAGCCTGCAGACCTCGAACCCTAAACGCTGATCTTAAAATACAGAGAGCTGGCTGCGGAATCAGCAGCGAGCTGAGCCTAGAAGCTCCCCCTAAACCCAATGCCGATCACCCAACCCCTATAAACACTACTACAGTAGTAAAGCCTGATCCGAATCCCTAGCCCCTAAATCCCCAACCCGAAGGCCTGCTCCCTACACCCAATTCCTCAAACCCGACAGTTTCGACTTCGCTCGGAAACCGTGGGCGTGAAGCAAGAGAAGGATCCTGGAGCCAAAGCTCCAAGAAGCAAAGCTCTTGAAAAGGGTGTGGACCTTAAGCAACCTCTCCCTTACAAAAAAAATTGTAAAGCCCCTGCAGGGCCCTAAACCGAAACGCCCTCACGCCGGGTCCCGGACACGCTTGGAGGGCGTCTGGGAGCGCTGGGCGCTCGCCTCCCAGTGAGCACCCAATCCAAAAAGTCCTACATTCGAAGCGCCTATAGGGGCCTTAAGAATTAGAATATGGTTTTGAGGCCCATTATACCATACTTTTGGGGCCCATTGTACTATTTGGGGCCCATTCTACTATACTTACAAAAAGGAACCTCCCCACAGTGGGGCTCTAGGACATAGGGCGGTCTGCAGCTTACGAGTAACTGCAGGTCGGCAAACAAAGGCGTGCAGTCTTGGCACAGCTGTGAGCACATCTGCTTATAGGGTTAAGGGTTTAGTATCATATTAGGGTTTAGGGTTAAGTATCAGTTTAGGGTTTAGGGTTTAGGGTTTAGGGTTCATCTGTTCAAAGAATGCTTCTGTAAGCGGCCTAAAGCATTTTTCTGCGAATCGTGTTTTGTTCCTTCCTGTTGCTCCCTTTCTCTGCACCCCCCGAGACTCCAACATCCCTTAATTAAGGAATATGCCTTAAATTATAGTAGGATCTCGAATATGATTTAAGGAATATTCCTTAATTAAGGGATATTGGAGTCTCTGGGAAGCCTGAACCTTAACATCCTTGTCACAAACACACTCAACCCAAAACAAAGCCCTGAAACCTCCGATAAATTTGGAACGATACAGAGAAGATTAGCACGGCCCCTGCGCAAGGATGCGAACCTCCGATAAAATTGGAACCATCCCCTCAGAAAAAGCGCCTGGCGCCTCAGCGCCGGTGGCGGTGCTCGGAAAGCTCCTCGTCGCACAACTGGGGTTTAGGGGTTAACGGTTTAGGGGTTTAGGGGTTTAGGGGTTAAGGGGTTTGGGGTGTAGGGTTTAGGGCTTAGGGGTTTGGGGGGTTTAGGGGTTTAGGGGTTTAGGGGTTTAGGGGTTTAGGGGTGTAGGGGTTTAGCGTTTAGAGGTTTAGCGGCCAATTCAATCAGCAGCAGCATGAGTAGAAGAAGTAGCAGCAGTAGATGTAGCTGCAGCACGAATAGTGGGTTTAGTGGTAAGAGCAGTATTATGCAAGCAAAATGCTAAGGCAATAGTTCAAGTGATAGCAACAGCAGGATTAGGACTTAGGAGTAGTAGGAACATAAACAGGAGCAGTAATGGGACTAGAAGCAGTAGTAGCCGTAGAAGTAGTAGTAGTAGAAGTAGTAGTAGTAGTAGTAGTAGTAGCAGCAGTAGCAGTAGCAGAAACAGCAGCAGCGGCAGTAGAACATGCAAGCAGCGAGTGCATCATGAGAATACGGGACCCAGTTCTCCCTCTGGATCTGGAAGGATGCGCCAAACAGACACCACCAAAAAGGCATGACCAGACCTGGACTAGGTTAGCAACACATGTGAAGCGGATTCCCCTCTTTGACACGCCCCATTCAGGCTTCAGCTTCTGCAGCATTGAGGCTTGAAGTTCGGGACTTGCTGGATTTCGGTCCGTTGCAGTCCGGTGCCATCGGCTTTCAGTGTCTGGCGGTCTCGGACAGCAGATTTGTGGCCTGCGCCCACAGAACCCTGTTGTAGGGGCCTTACTAGGTTCTGGTGGTTCTTTTTTCAGAATTACAGTATCATATACCCCCAAACCCTATTCTAATGATTAAGCCCCTACACTCAACCCGCATAATACCCCCTTATTATAGTAACCCTAATAGAACGCTTTTTAAGAACCCTTCAAAGGAACCCTATTCTAATGACTAAGCCCCTACATTAAGCCCCGAACCCAAAAGTCAGGGTTCAGAGGAGCCGGTCCTCGGACAGGGAAGCGCTCAGAGATCGTCTCCGTTGCCTGGAGAAGCCACGGCTTAGGGTTTCGGGTTTAGGGGTTTAGGGGTTTAGGGTTTAGGGGGTTTAGGGTTTAGGGATTAGGGGTTTAGGGGTTTAGGTGTTTAGGGTTTAGGGGTTTAGGGTTCAGGGGTTTGAAGGATTTAGTGGGCAAGCTAACATAGGGTTTTGAAGACATCGCGGTAGTATCCCCTGGTAATATCCCGTATGTACAAAACCAAAACCAAAGTGTCAGTTATGGTCCCCATGTTTGGTGTCTTTGCTGCTGTAAAAGAAAGGGGCCAAAAATCACTACGACTAATAGTTCTTGGTGAAACGGTCGAACAAAGCCTCCACAGAAACCCGAAGAAGCCCATCCCCAAGAATACGAACTCGTAGCCTCTCCCATGGAGTCAGGCGAATCCGACGGAGCCAGCACCTGCTCCGGGCGGGTTTAGGCTTGATTCATGGATCGAAATCTGGGCGTGAGGTTTAACGCATACAGCTTCGGGTCATGGTTCGCGGATGCCATGGGCGCAATGCACCCAAAACTCTGCGGGCAGCGAGTGACCGGTCACAAGTACTCGACAACACCTGATCAGTTTACCTTCCCCAGCCGCCTGCAGCCGCTGGCGCAGCGCTTTGACTGCTGCGGCGTGCTCCTTCCAGCCTCTATGGCCAAGCAACCGTGGGCTTGGGGCTAGAGGAGTTGCTATCCCTCGCACAATGGTCACATGAGGGATAATCTATGAACTACCTTAACTTAAGATAATTCTAAGTTCCAAGAATCTAAGAGTTACTGAGAAGGGTTCTCTCTGGCTTGGAACTCGGGGCTTCGGGTTGGGAGGGTTTCAGACTCGAAGGCGTAGTGTTTTTGGTGTTTGGGGCTGAAGGGCTTAGCTCAGGATAGCTTGGGGTTGCGGGTTTAGGACAAGGGTCTAGGCAGGGGCTTGAAATCTCAAGACTAAACAACCAGCTATGTCTTCCTGGGTCTGACGGGCGTTGTTGGCCTTTCATCATGATGTTGGCATCATCATCTTTGTGCGGAGGACCTGGTTTGTAGAATGGCAGCTTGAACCTTTCCACACCTGGACTTCCATCAGCATGCACCCCCCCGATGTTGAAGCCCTTAAGCTCCGATGCTAGCTGCTAGCACCTGGTTGCACTCGCAGAAGGCAAGACCCCAATTCGATCTGTTTACATTTGTCGGTGGTGCCTGCCAAAATAATAATTCAACATAAATTACTCGTTGGAGACTCGATGAGCCGACACAATCTGGCCGAAGCACTCTGGAAGCACTGTCGCCATGTGGACTCTTCGTCGCGGAGCCACGTCAAGACACCTGCATCCATCCAAAAAGAGAGTGTGAAAGCCATGGAGCTATACTCCAATCCAAGCGAACACCCCGAAACACTAAATTCATCGAGCGAACACACTCTAAAATCTTATCAATCATGCATGAAAGCCCCAAGGCCGAAACCCAAAACCGCAAGCCCCAAAACCTGAGACCTGATGCAACCCTTAAGCCCTGAAAGCCCGTGAGCCCTCCAGCCTAAACCCTGCAGTCGGCTGAGTGTGTGTCAACGCTTCTCAGCTGAATCGCTCCTTCTCGCAAAACCAGGTATCGAGGTCCCTTCAACAATCTTTTCGCACTGGAACAATTCCACATTCACCGGGGCATTGAGCACCCCGACTAAAAAGAATGCTGCTGAAGGAGCCGTTTGACTTAACCACGGTTGTCGTTCTCCTTCTGCCCTTGTGGTTCTGAAGACCCTACTTTTGGATTTTGTGCTGAAGGCCTTTGGGAATCCAGGCAGGCGTCCGATGGCTTGGGGTTTAAGGCTTCATAAAGCTCAGGTTTGACTACTTGGGGGGAGTATAGGAGTGAAGGTGGGGTAAGGAAGGTCTGCAACCGAGCCACTGAGACAGGTGTCGATGGGAACAAGGCCCTTGCCTCAAAACAAGCTTCGACGTTGGCGCTGCAGGAGTTGCAAATCCAGTCAAACAACACTTTTGGGCCATGACCTGCGTCAGCGGCCCCTCCTGCTGCAAAAAAATCCAGTATCAGCATCATGGGCATCAGCCGCCCCTCCTGCGGCCTGCGATGGTCCGAAAGCCAGCATCATGAGCAGCAGCCGAAACTCCCGCGGCCTGCAGTAATAACTCCCTTGGCCAAAAGCCAGCATCATGAACATCAGCCGCCCCTCCCACGGCAAATGGTGGTAACTCCCCTCGCCTGAAAACCAGCATCATCAGCATCAGCCGCCCGTGCTGCGGCCTGCGGTGCTCCGAAAGCCAGCATCATGAGCATCCCACGGCCTGCAGCAATAACTCTCCAGACCTGGAAGAATCAGCCGCCCCTCCCGCGGTTTATGTTGGTACCTGCCCTGGCCTGAAAACCGGCATCATGAGCATCAGCCGCCCCTCCTGTGTGGCCTGCGGTGGTCCGAAAGCCAGCATCATGAGCATCAGCCGAAACTGCCGCGGCCTGCAGTAATAACTCCCTTGGCCTGAAGGCCAGCATCATGAGCATCAGCCGCCCCTCCTGCTGCATACGGTGGCAACTCCCCTCGCCTGAAAACCAGCATCACGAGCATCAGCCGCCCCTCCTGCAGCCTGCGGTGGTCCGAAAGCCAGCATCATGAGCATCAGCCGAGACTCCCGCGGCCTGCAATAATAACTCCCTGGGCCTGAAAGCCAGCATCATGGCCCCTCCTGCGGCATACGGTTGTAACTCCCCTCGCCTGAAAACCAGCATCATGAGCATCAGCCGCCCCTCCTGCAGCCTGCGGTGGTCCGAAAGCCTGCATCATAAGCATCAGCCGAGACTCCCGCGGCCTGCAATAATAACTCCCTGGGCCTGAAAGCCAGCATCATCGCCCCTCCTGCGGCATACGGTTGTAACTCCCCTCGCCTGAAAACCAGCATCATGAGCATCGGCCGCTTCAGGCCCAGCATCATGGCCCCTCCTGCGGCATACGGTTGTAACTCCCCTCGCCTGAAAACCAGCATCATGACCATCAGCCGCCCCTCCTGCAGCCTGCGGTGGTCCGAAAGCCAGCATCATGAGCATCAGCCGAGACTCCCGCGGCAATAATAACTCCCTGGGCCTGAAAGCCAGCATCATGGCCCCTCCTGCGGCATACGGTTGTAACTCCCCTCGCCTGAAAACCAGCATCATGAGCATCAGCCGCCCCTCCTGCAGCCTGCGGTGGTCCGAAAGCCAGCATCATGAGCATCAGCCGAGACTCCCGCGGCCTGCAATAATAACTCCCTGGGCCTGAAAGCCAGCATCATGGCCCCTCCTGCGGCATACGGTTGTAACTCCCCTCGCCTGAAAACCAGCATCATGAGCATCAGCCGCCCCTCCTGCAGCCTGCGGTGGTCCGAAAGCCAGCATCATGAGCATCAGCCGAGACTCCCGCGGCCTGCAATAATAACTCCCTGGGCCTGAAAGCCAGCATCATGGCCCCTCCTGCGGCATACGGTTGTAACTCCCCTCGCCTGAAAACCAGCATCATGAGCATCCTCCTGCACTCCATCCATCGCCTGAAAGCCAGCATCATGGCCCCTCCTGCGGCATACGGTTGTAACTCCCCTCGCCTGAAAACCAGCATCATGAGCATCAGCCGCCCCTCCTGCAGCCTGCGGTGGTCCGAAAGCCAGCATCATGAGCATCAGCCGAGACTCCCGCGGCCTGCAATAATAACTCCCTGGGCCTGAAAGCCAGCATCATGGCCCCTCCTGCGGCATACGGTTGTAACTCCCCTCGCCTGAAAACCAGCATCATGACCATCAGCCGCCCCTCCTGCAGCCTGCGGTGGTCCGAAAGCCAGCATCATGAGCATCAGCCGAGACTCCCGCGGCAATAATAACTCCCTGGGCCTGAAAGCCAGCATCATGGCCCCTCCTGCGGCATACGGTTGTAACTCCCCTCGCCTGAAAACCAGCATCATGAGCATCAGCCGCCCCTCCTGCAGCCTGCGGTGGTCCGAAAGCCAGCATCATGAGCATCAGCCGAGACTCCCGCGGCCTGCAATAATAACTCCCTGGGCCTGAAAGCCAGCATCATCGCCCCTCCTGCGGCATACGGTTGTAACTCCCCTCGCCTGAAAACCAGCATCATGAGCATCAGCCGCCCCTCCTGCAGCCTGCGGTGGTCCGAAAGCCAGCATCATGAGCATCAGCCGAGACTCCCGCGGCTTGCAATAATAACTCCCTGGGCAACGCCTGAAAGCCAGCATCATGAGTACAGCCACCCCTCATACGGTCTACAGTGGCGACTCCCCAGCATTATCAGCGTCAGCCTTGGGCCTAAAAGCAACCAAACTAGGATTCCCAGTAACCTAAGAATAAAAAGGCCTCTCTTTTTGGTATTGGGTAACTTTATAAGGAACCTAGGACTACAAAAAGAGAATAAGGGTACTACTGGGCATCCTAGCAAACTGTTGGCAGGAAGCGGGTGTCAACTTGTCCCCACAGAAGCTATTGCACAGCAGTGTGAAGGTTTTGTTGGGAGCTTGTTCAGGCCTGACACCAAGCAACATCGCCGTCGCGACCCCATGCCTCCTCATCATTCTCACTATCCTCGTCGCGGTCGTCGCAACATGCCAGCAAATGATGCTACAAAACAACTCGTCTGGATGATTCCTTTGGCCCGGGGTTCATCTTGTTTGAGAGCGGTCAACCCTGCCGTCTCAAAACCCGAAACACCCGAATCCTGACGCTCAAAAAGCCCAAACCAAGACAAATCTACGGGCAAGCTGCCTGGCATGGTAGCCCAGCAGCTACTTTCCGGGACACAGAAGAACAGCTCGCTGCCTGCAGCTGTTCTTAACGCTGACACTGTCAACGGGTTTAAGGTTTAGATATGTTTAGGTATTCACACCTTAACGAAACTATGAATTGAGGAATGCCGCGGCGAGGAACTCTGGGGCTTCCCGTGAAACTCTTCGATTCCACGTGTGGGATTTCATTGGGGATCCGTGGTGTCGAGTGTGAGGAGACGTACGGCCCCGGGGCATATAGTTCGGACAACGAAACTGTGGGTCTAGGGGCTTTGGGTTTAGGGGTTTAGGGGTTTAAGATTTAGGGCTAAAGCCCTCAAACTTTGTCTGGCTAGATTCATGCGACAAGTAGCCGACATCACTGAAAGAACGACATCACTGAAAGCAAAGCAACTGCCACGGGGAAACATGCTACTCTGAACAATCCCGCACAGAAGAAAGACGATGAACAATGTGCAACGAACAAATGGAATCCAAGTGCCGGTCAAGGTGCCGTTGTCTGCCGTCCTGTGCTTCGGGAGTTTGAGGCTTCGGGGTGATGTATTTCGCGCGGGCTCTCGGGCTCTACGTCGTGGGTTCCCTAGCTGCCGGGTTTGGGTATGCTGCAGGGAGACAAATGGCAGTGCTGCAGGATCTGTAAACGGAAACGGAAGGCCCTCACAGCCCTCGGATGCAGCAAGCTTTCTGCAAGATTCCCCTTCGGCTGCCATGTTGCTTTCGAAAAATGCGGAGAGCGGTGCGACCGTAATCGTTTAACCGTTCCTCACGATTGCTCCAATCAATGAGGGGACATACGTCCGCCATTGGAAAGGCTACGAGTAACTTACAGAAAAACCAAATCAACGACGGCATCAGACAGCCTGGAAAACCATGCGCAGCAAAGCAATTGAACCGGTATTTAGACACGGAGGCTCCGTCTGTATGATGGGTACGAGTACGAACATAACCACACGAGAACCATGGCTCGGGCAAACATGCGAAACATACTGCGGGTCTCTGAGTCTCTGGTCTCGGCTTTGGAAGCCAAGGGTGCATGCGCAGGTACACAAGTCTTGCCACTATGCCTAAAGCGCATGTGTCCTGTCAAGAGTAGCTTCGGAAGCGTTCGAGTTGGCTTTCGAGCCATGTCAGCCATGGCAAACACTCCCGACATCATTCTGGAAGAGAAATGGCCCGAACAAACACTGCCGAACAAAGTAAACGTCACTCGTGGAATGGCTCCTTTGGCAAGTTTGCAACGAACAAAGTCTTTTAACAATAAATCGATCTGAACTCATTATTTTCGACTGGTTTCACACACTTGCCAAAGGACCCATTCCACCAGTGACTCTTACTACACGGAGCCATAACAAGAACTAAGAGAAGAACAAGAACACAAACCCTTACGACGCCCTTAAATCCACGAACCCATGAGCTCCAAAGTATCTTGTACTTGCAGCTGCTCTGGCCTCTTTCTCCACGTCTTCGTGGCCGAGTGAGTTGCCCAACCAGTTTCACAAACCTCATACTTGAAATCTGGGGTTCGGATTCTATTTCTTGGGACCTTGAGGGCTTTAGGGCTTCAGGGCTTCAGGGCTTTGGGTTTCGGGGGTTGTTGAATTTGTTGCATTCCAATGTACAATATAAACACTTTTCTAGAGATCTTAACCGGGGCTTCGTTGATTTGGGGTGTAGGATGGTGTAGGTGTTGGAGGTTCGTGTTAAGGATGCTGGCATTCGCTGGGTAAGGTTGAGGTTCGGCCGAATTTTGGGACGTGGGTTAAAAGATTCCACTTCAGGCTCCATGAAGACTGCGGGTTTCTGATCTCTGCAGAGGAGCCAGGCTTACTTGGGCCTAACGAACAGCCTCACAGGAAACCGAAGGGAGAAGGGGAGCACAGCATGCTTCCGCGGTCACTCAGAGCCCACAAGCCCACAGAATTCCAGAAGCATGAGAGCCCAAGCACACGGGTTTAAGTGTAAAATCGGAAATCACACAAAGCATGGCCAATGTGTCCTCACTCCCCCAAGGGGTAGGAAGTACATTATCAAGCTGCCAAACACCCTCGGCATTATCCCCACTACACCCGGCACAGGATGCCTTCTTCAAAGGACCCTTTTTGCGGGCTCCAGAACTCTATGCCTACTCCCAGAGCCCGCAGGGCATTTCAAAAACCAACTACAATGTGCCTCCCAAAGAGATACCACCCAAGAGAAGCCATACACCGACCATGCCATCCTATGAGAAAAATGGAGACACCAGCCTCACTCGGCACTGGAATCAATTTCTCCGGGCTCGGCACATTCCAGCCCTCCACAGGTGGTGGAGACAAGCCACGGTGGTCCTCCCGATGCATCAGGCAAACATCAACATCCCCTTCAAACTTGGAAGATTCGCGGCTTCGGCTCAACATATTCAGATGATATCGCTCCACGCTCCAAACTCCAGAAATCCGACATCCTAAACTCGTTACAGCCCCAAGCTTGAAGCACACCCGGGTCCAAGCCTCTGCCAACGTCTCAGTCTTTCTCCAAACATGATGAAGTTCCCTTAAACCCTTAACTCCAAACCACTCTGCTCCTGGCAGCGCCCTTCTCGTCGCCCTAGGGGCGCCGTGCGCAGTGCGGGGCGGCTGGCTGGCTCCTGGGCTGTCCAAGTTACATTCGGGCTTGTCCAAAACCTTTGGCAATGCTCTTACAAGGGGTCGTGTAATGATTATGAAGGGCTTTAAAATTATGTTGTTTCTCATGCAGGCTTTTTACGGGCCTCAGGCGGCCTCAGAGTACTCATTTGGGATGGTTTATGTTGAACCCTGAACCCAGCTGAAACAAGCGGCGCTTTTGGCTTTGGCTGGGAATTGGAACTCGGGGATTTGCCAAACATCTACAGCCAATTGCAGTCTAGAGGTTAGGTCATGGGATTTAGGGTTTTGGATTTAGCCTTCGGGTTTGAGCATTGCTGGGCCTGTGTTGTGCTGCGGATGGCAACTTTTCGTCTCTTCTTGGCAGTGTCGTTTTCGCGCACGGACGAAACCCGAGCAAATATGAACAAACATCAGATTCGGAGTTTGGCTTTGCAACCAAAAAATGTACATCCTTTCGCATTCAGAGACTTTGACATCAGCTCAACTCGCGACAGACACCAAACCCCACATGATTCTACTGCAGCCTAAAGAATAATAAACATTGCAATCAGTCATCATACAAGGATGCTACAGCCTTAAAGTTCCGGAAACATCAAAGATAACAAACTCCTGCAATCTGCGAACGTTTCGGGCGAACACAATGAATCAATCCCATGTACTCCCAAAGCGTGCAAAACCTCACCCGTCCTCCACGATGGCCTCAAATATAGCTGGGATTTGAACATTCAAGGGTTGGGAACTTGGGGATAAAGTTTAGGCTGTCAGGGCATGTCGCCATTGCAGCCATCAATTCAAGTTTCTGATTAGCAACCTGCATCCGCCAAACCCAGCGCCGGAAACATGCCCCACCTACACGGGAAACCCATCAAAAAAAAACTTTTCCAGTCAAAAAGAAACTTTCAGCGAAAATCAAAAAAAAAATTCCCCAATCAAAAAAAAACTTTTTTCCAATCAAAAATAACTTTCTCCATGTGTAGTAGTAGTAGTAGTAGTAGTAGTAGCAGTAGTAATAGTAGTAGTAGTAGTAGTAGTAGTAGTGGTGGTAGTACTAGTAGTAGTAGTAGTAGTACTAGTAGTAGTAGTAGTAGTAGTAGTAGTAGTACTAGTAGTAGTAGTAGTAGTAGTACTACTACTACTACTACTAGTACTGGTACTAGTACTGGTACTAGTACTAGTAGTAGTAGTAGTAGTAGCAGCAGCAGTAGTAGTAGTACTAGTAGTGGTAGTGGTAGTGGCAGTGGTAGTGGTGGTGGTAGTAGTAGTTGTTGTTGTTGTACTAATAGTATAGTTAAATCATGGCGAAGCGTAGGGCCAGGTGCCAGCTCTGCAGTGAACGCCTTTAACCGAGGCCCACAAGGGGGAGAGAAAAAAAAAGGGCAAAGAAAAAAAACAAATCAAAAAAAATAGGGCCCCCTCCTTCCTGCCTTCCTTCCTGTCTGCCTGCCTGCCTTCCTTCCTTGCTGCCTTGTTTCCTTCCTTGCTTCCTGCCTTCATTCCTTCCTTTCTTCCTTCCTTCCTTCCTGCCTTCCTTCCTGCCTTCCCTCCTGCCATCCTTCCTTGCTGCCTTTCTTCCTGCCTTCCCTCCTTCCTTCCTTCCTTCCTGTCGTGCTTCCTTTAATAAGGGAAAGTTTTTTTTTGATTGGAAAAAGTTTTCTTTTGATTGAAAAAAAGTTTTTTTGATTGAAAAAAAGTTTTTTTTTGATTGGCATCCCCACCTACACGCTGTTGGAATAACCTAAACCGATACGGTTTAGAGTTTAGGGTTTTTTTTTGTTTTTTGCGCTTCAACCGATGCCGAGCTCCTCACGATCAAACTTTTGGTGAAACGCACAGGCTACACCATACAAGCGGTTACAAGCTGGCCAGGATTCCAGGAACGGCCAGTTCCGTTCGTCGTGTGAAACTGGACGTCCACTGCCATTCACAGTGCGCGCAGCGCTCTGCACCGAGGGTGGACAAAGCTGCGGTCTCCCCTTCATGTATCACCCCTTTTCCTCCCAACTACTATTGCGATACTACGACTAGTTGAATGCTCGCTTGACATGAACAGGCGGCTGCAACTCAAAGCTTTGCTGTACGCGCGCTAATTACATGCACTGCACCAGCAACGGCTGGTCATGTTGAACTGAAGGTGGCGCAGCCACGCTGGACATCGAGATGATCCAAGCTTTAAGCAATCGTCGTTTGTCGAGCACCATCCGGCCAAGAAACTTCTGACCAGGTGCATTACCACTGTACGGTCCCCAGGCCGTAGGCCTGGTAACCAAGTAGAGAAGGTGGATACTGCCAAAGCGCCTCAAACGAGACGAGCTGTCGACACCGTTTGAACACCAGGCAACCGGACCTCCGCGCTTCAGGAGATGTACACTGGTCGAGACACGCAGCAAGCCCAACTGCAAATAGCACTGAACCAAGACGAGCTGGAAGCTGCGCCCTTGATCTCATCTTTTACCTTGTCCTCCTTCTGAGCCTCGGAACGGAAGGCCTGCTCGGCCTCGCTGAGGCAGATGGAGATGCTCTGATCCTCGTCAGCGGACTCCTGCGTATTGAACTCCGCGTTGTCCGCGCAACCATGTTCCTCCTGCTCGCCGCTGGAGGGGCAATTGCTTCTATCCTGGGAGCCAGTGTCCGTGTCAGACGGCTCCTTGGACACGAAGACGCTGTCAATCTCACCCAACTCCTGGTCAACCTTGTTGACCTCCATCTCAGCGACGCCCTTCCCGATGTTGAAGACCTTCTCAGGCTTCTTGCTGGGTCTCTTCTGTGGAACATTGACCTGCGCTTTGGCCGCGCGCCAAGCAGCAAGATCTCGGGCACTGGTAGAGCGCACCACCTCCACCTCCTGCTCACTGCTGGGGGGGCAGTTGCTTCCATCCTCTCCCGTCGACACAACATTGGCTTGCTCCTTCTTCGCCAATTTCGCTTTGAGCTTTGCGGCTGCCCGTGCATCTGCCGCCTCGGTTTGGCATTGGAGCTTTTTTGCGAGGAAAGTCTGAACGGACCTCCTTGTTTCTTGCTCCTTCGCCTTGCTTCTCTGTTTCCTGGTGCCAGCCGTGTTACCTGCTGCTGCGGCGACGCGGCACTGCTGCAGGAGTGTGGCACGTGCCAGGGCTATGTCCCTTTTGTAGGCCAGGTTCTCCTCTGCGCTTCGACCGTGGTGGCGGCGCTTCGAGGCCTCTCCGCCAGGCTGCATTCGCCTGTTGGCCTCCTTCAGCCCTTCATATGATTCGTTGAGGCGCTTGAACGCCTCCTCCGCATCAGGATCCCCACCGCACTTGTCGGGGTGTATCAGCAAAGCCTTGTTCTTGTAGGCCTTGCGGATGTCTTCCTCGCTTGCACTTGCAGCCACTCCTAAAATGCGACAGCAATCGCACCCGGCCGCAAGAATCTTCTTGATCTCCCGCCGGCGCTCCATGCTACCGAGGATCAAGCTTTGACTCCTAAACACTTGAGCCAGAGTTTAGGGTTTAGGGTTTAGGGGATACCCTGCGCCTCCGTCAACATCCGACTACTGTCCACGACTTGGCAGCTCTGGAAATTGAAACAACAACACACCCGAAAACCTAAAACCCTGAAGGTTGGATCGACCTTGGCCCTGTCCCATCGAGCGGCCACAGCTAAAATGGAATGAGCCATAAAAAGCCGAAACCCCATGGTTGCAGCGATGTGTCCATTCTAGAAAACAAGAGCCCACGAACTGCAAAACGCCAAACCCTAAACCACCTGAACCCGTAAATCCTAAACCCTGAACCTCTAAATCCTAAACCCTAAACCCGTAAATCCTAAACCCTGAACCTCTAAATCCTCAACCCTGAACCCGTAAATCCTAAACCCTGAACCTCTAAACCCTGAACCCGTAAATCCTAAACCCTAAACCCCTAAATCCTAAACCCTGAAACCCTAAATCCTACACCCCAAACTGACTAGGCCCTTCCCTCGACTCCGGGGCGCACACTTCGACCTCCAGCTCGGCGCGCTGGACGCCGCCGTGCGCCCGGAGCTAGGAAGGTCGGGGTTAGGGTTTTTTTTAAGTTAGGGTTTAGGGTTTAGGGTTTAGGGGACTAAGCTTCCAGGGCTTTGGGGTGGTGGAGGTTCAGAGCGCAGGGTTCGGGGTTTAGGGGTTTAGGGTTTGAGGGTTTAGGGTTAGGGCATTAGGATTTTGCGGCCGTGAGGTTGGTTTGTTTTGACTTAAGGCTATTGATTTGGATTTGTTGCTTCAGGGCTTGTAGGGACAGATCAGGTATCCGACTGCCCCGAGGGCTTGTTGAGACATGCTGGGCGTACCTGCTAGTGTTTGTCCTGAGCTTAGGTTTAAAGGGATTCGGCGTTTTAGGGTTTAGGGCTTAGGCTTAGGACTCCCTTGGCTTTGTGCGCGGTTTGGGAGTTCGGGGCCATCGTGTCCCTCATGGAGGTTTCGGCGTCACAAAGCCGCGACAGCTACTCAACCTCTGAATGATTTCAAAAATTATTCCGGTTGGTGCCCATATACTTGTTCCCCAAAGTGCCTTGGAATAGAATATACCCAGGCAAGAGCTTTGGGATTGGCCAGATAGTACTGCGATTGGGCTTTACAACTTTCACTTCGCAAGGCTCGAAGCACTCACGGTATCCATCGCCAAACCAGCCCAAAGCCTTCCATCCCTTCAGCGGGCAACAGGGAACGGCCTTCAGAATCGAATCATGTACCCTTACATCTAGTTCATGGTTGGGATAAGATTAGAACTTTACATTTTATTCCTTATTGGGTGTAAGTACCCATAAACATGTAAAATGTTACCCAACTATGACAAAGACATGCCCATGGAATCCTGAAGCCCACATCCTCTCCCGAAATCCTCAGCTCCCAAACCCACAAACTTCTGCGGAAACATCTGCAAAAAACTACGCACCCAACACATACACGTCCAAAAAACTAATCCTGACAACTCTGCATATCATGAACACCTCAAGCACCTTCAGACTTCAGACCCAACAGCCCTAAGATCAAACGACTTCCAAACCCCCCGCCACAGTTTCTCTTCCCTGTGCATCAGCAAGACTACGGGACTTTGGGAGTTCGGCACAATAACACGATTTAGGCTTTAGGGCTTAGGGTTTAGGGTTTAGTGGCATGCCAAGCCTTCAGGACTTCCAGGCTTTGAGGCTTTGAGGGCTGTCAGGCTTCCCAGAGACTCCAATATCCCTTAATTAAGGAATACACCTTAATTTATAGTAGGACCCCGAATATGACTAAAGGAATATTCCTTAAGTAAAGGATATTGGTGTCTCTGGGTTCACAACTCAACATTCTGAGACGAGCTATCTGAGAGCCCCTGCGAAAATGTCCACCTTCCCACCTTGCCTGGCGAGCCATGGAGTCTTTGGGAATTATGACGTGGGGTCCAGAGATTTGGGGTTCTGGGTGTGGGGCAGACTCGAAAATGCATGGACCCTGCTGGGTTTTGTGAAATCCCTATGAGACCTCATGAAAAGCGAGCTAGGGGTCCCGATCAAACAGTCAAAGTACTCAGAATCACACGAATATCTGCAACAGCCTGCACAAACTGCACAAAATGGTAGTAGCACTAACAACTATAACAACAGTCATAAAATAAGAATAGCAACCACTTTTAGTATTAGTGTGAACCAGTATGAATGATGGATGATGATACTAATAATGATAATAATCCATTAATCACCACAATAAGACCAATAACAATGGCAAGAGCAGGACATAAATGACAACGCTCCCCCCCCCCCCCCCCCGCCCCGGTTGCCTGGCATCGAAGCTCAGGGCCTCACCCGGCCGGAGCCCCCGGCGTCTGCAGAAGTCGAACCTTCGCTTCGATCAGTTAAGGCTCAGGGTTTAGAGTTCAGGGTTTAAGGGTTAAGGGTTTAGGGTTCAGGGTTTAGTAGGGTTTCGGGTTTAAGGTTCAGGGGTTTAGGGTTTAGGGTTCAAGGTTCAGGGTTTAGGGTTTCGGGTTTAGCGTGTAGGGTCCTGGTGTACGAGCTTTATGATCTTCTTTTCCAGCGTTATAAGGGCTAGTACATGGACAGCTGTCAGTGTATTAGAAAGAGCAACTAGCTACAAGGGTTAGCGCCAGGGGTCAAGGGGCTTTCGGCCTTTTGAGGTTTGGTTGTGGCAAGTTTTCTTTGAAGCTGATTTTTGGGAGTTCCAGGTTTGGGATTGGGGCTTCTGGACTTCACGGCGTGCGGGCCTCGATATTTGGGGCTTAAGCCTTACACCGCTCAAGCTGCGAAGCTTCGAGTTTCGGCGTGGTTTCCATGGGTGCATATCTTGGGGTCTTGCGCCGTTGTTCACAGGGACTTGGGGTCGGTTCTGCTTGGGGCCTTCGGGTTCAGGGCTTGGGACCTTTCCCCACTTCGGCGAGGGGCTTGGGGAGCTCGTCTCACCTGGGGCCCGACCCATTGAAGCTCATTTCAGGGCGGCCTCCAGGATGCCAGAACCAGTGCCCCCAGATCAAACCCCCGGCACCCTAAACCTGTTGAAAAGCATAATAAGGCATAAGTATTGCACAGCGCCGTGCCGTGCAGAGCGGTGCGGTGCAGCGCTTTGCAGTGCAAACTTGTATGCCGTTCAGATTTTGGGCTCCAAGAGGCCGGTAGGTCGCGCCGGCCTCGTACTCCTTGGCTGTGCCAACACATCCAGAGAGAGCCTTTCAGGCCGTTTCGGGAGGTGGTCCTTGAAAAGCTGGTTCTTTCTGAAATCGCCTTGGATACCTGAAGCCGTGGTCTGATGAAGCAACCGGAGCTCTTCGGTGACACCCGTTGTGCTGCACCAAGAGACAAAGAATCAGCAAGGAACCCCATCCTACCTCCTTAATCCTCCTGACCCGAAATTGACCAGACCTCTCAGACATGCGTCCGACAACCAAATCCTGACGTCTGCAAACATCAGTTTGGCGTACAAGCTGCCTGCAATGGACAGTACCACGTGAATGCGGGAGATGCTTCCTGCATGACAGCCAAGTTTCCGGCAGCGTCTCGAAAACCTGAGCTGCAAAGATGGGGGGGGGAACCGTCAAAGTCAAAGTCACTTCCCTGGTTCAAGACCTTCGGCCTTGAAGCCGTAACTCGGACCGCTTCAAAGTGAAGGTCCGGCGTCCAAGATTAAGGTCTGCAGTTTCAGGGGTGCGAGCATATGAGAATGACTTCTCTCCGCCGTTCCTTTCCGCTCCTTGGCAGATGATGCAGATGACAGAGATCCCACACCCCAAGCCTAGCAACCTTGCATCTACTGACGCTGGGCCAACATCCCCGGACTTGGAACCACTATGTTCCCTGCAATAAAATCAACAGTATATAGCTTATAATGCTGCTGTGATTCACACTGTGGTTGGACAGAACCTGCTATTCTCCTTCTACAGTAATTGTTCTCATTATTGTTAGTCTTGTTCAAGGGCTCAAATTTCGGGGCCTGGCAAAAATTGGCGTCGCATCGGAAGCGGGAAGTTTTGGGTTTTTTTTATCTCAGGGTCTCACCTCGTTCCAGCTGTCATCCAGCTCCGGCGCGCCGGCAGAAAAGGCCCAGGGGGCGTCCACCGCCTGCTCAGAGCCACGGTTTAGGGTTTAGGGTATAGGGGTTTAGGGGTGTAGGGTTTAGGGCTTCTTTAGGATATGACGGCATCCACGACTGTTGCTACAGCAGCTGCAAGAGGAATGATGAGTCCTCGAAACCTAGTGCGCAGGTCAAGTCTGTACTCCCTGCGTCCGGGGAGAAGCCGAAAAGCCGAAACGTCAGGGGATCCCGAGCTGAAAGTCCCTGCGAGAGCCTTTGTCTCGCCCAGGACGTACACCTCCATCCCTCGGCACAGGGAAGCCGCAGGGAAGGAGACCGAAACACATTCTGAAGCCGACTAAGTTCAAGCTTGCACACTGGCTTTGGAGACGAAGGGGCAGTATTATGGCCACCGGTATCATCATTAACATTGCCGCCGTCATCATGTCATCATCATCATTCATCATCATCATTCATCATCATCAGCATCACCGACAGAGCCTTTTGTACCTCCAGGACCCAAGTCATCAGCATTCCCCAAGAATCAGGACGACATCAGTCATTTTAACATCATTCAAGCAATAATGAACCGAAGGAGAGTAACAGTAGCAATGGGAAGGGCTATGCAACCAAATCAGCGGAAGTGCCATCAACATCAAGACGCAAAGCAGTAAGGTTTGTCACGTTAAACATAATGCATCATCACAGTCATGGTAGCAGCAGGAGGCAACAACAAGAACGACCGCAGTAGCAGTAGCAGCGGCAGCGGCAGCAGCAGCAACAAGAAAAATAAGCGGAACGACGAAGGCAGCATCCAAAAACAGTGTCAGCAACATCACTAGAAGACGCGACCAGCATCGTGCTGACAACACACAGTTGCTACAAAGCAAACAACAGTCAATGGGACTCTGGAAATCCCAGCTACGATCCCTGCTTTCATCAGGTAAAGACGGGTCAAGACAAGAAACCTTGACATACCCTGATAATGCCAAGAAGAGTAGTAACACTAGTAGCAGTACTCGTTTTCGCCATAGACATGATAAGACTAATCTTACTCGTGTTGATAACGACAATCATAACGGTCGCCGAAGTCAGGTCGCCCTCCGCTGCGGGCGCCCGGAGCGAAAACCGCGCCTTGCGGGCATCGACCGCCGTGCCTTCAGGCTCAGGGTTTCAGGTGTCATTGCAGGGTTTTGGAAAGGAAGGATTAATGTTTAAAAGGATTTGAAAGGGTCTCATGGACTTCGGGGGGGGGGGGGTTTGGGTTCGGTAGGCTTAACTAAGGGTCTCGGTGGGTTTCGGGGAGGGCTTGGGTTCTGCAGGCTGCGCTAGAGGGGTTTTGCAGGGTCTGAAGTGTTCGGGGGCGCGGGTTCTGTGGGCTTACCTACTTAACCAGATGGGAAGGGGGAAGTTTAAGAACATCCGCTGCCAGGCCTCAAAAAAAGGCCCAAAAGCTTGCGAGAATCATAAATACTAACAACAACCCCCCCGCCCTCCAACGCAAAAGACAGCGCAACAGTCGGATGAAGGGCTCAGGGCATGGGGCTCAAAGACTGGCCGACTAGCTGAACAGCTGTAGGCTTGGCAGCTTACGTCTCCAGGTTACGACAGCTTTTGTTGAGTTCTCTGAAATGTTGCGCCGTCGGCAAAGGATGGCTGTAAAGGAGCCCTTGTTGTGTGCGTCTGTCTTTCTGCCGTCGGAACCTGCGTCGTCGCTACATGCTGTTTCGAGGTCTTGCTCAGATTGTGCACACGGGGAGATGGAGGTTGGGAGATGGGACCAGTCCCTTGAGAGTTTGGATGATTCTAGGATTCACGCTGCGCTGACCCGAATATCCAATGATGAGACCAGGCCTTAACATATCGCAAACTTACGGGTCTACAAAACATAGGCACGGAGAAAACGAGGCACCTCGAAAGCTATCCCTGAACACTCAACCTTAATCCCGAACTCTTAGCAAAAGCCAAGGCAAGCTGCGGACTTTGAAGTGGAAGGCGGCAGTGGTGAAGCTTCCGAGCCGAGTGTAAGTCCTTGCGGACCCAATCATGCGATATCAAAAAGTACAAACGATGGCCGACATGCTGCTGCCTGTGTTGGCTTCGATAGCAATTCGGACCATATCTGCAGAAGACTGACTGCTATCCTGTCAAACTCGCCTCTGCACTGGTGGAATCGTGCTGGTCAACATCACCACAACGACCAAACGGAAAAAAGAAGAAGCTGAAGCCCTAAACATGGAAATTCAGGTGTCACGTTCAGAACTATGTCTGACGAAAGTGACCTGAGGTCAACACCAGGCTCGGTCAGACCAAACTGCGGTCCCCACACCCCAGGTGTCCTGAGCTCATCGAAACGACGGCTCAGTCTGATTCTTTATCTCTGAATACTAGGAGTTGGATCCCGAGCACATCTTACTTTCCTCAAGGGCTCAAAGACTTCGCGCTTCAGAGTCCACAGATTTTGTTTTGGCCTTGGCACTGCCAGGTGTAGTGCTTGCTTCTCACAGTTCCGGGCTTCCAGGGTTTTGCCTTCTTGGAATGCTAGGCGGCGGCAGCAGCAGCAGTAGTAACACAGTGGTATGAGCAGTAGTCGTAGTAGCGGTAGTGGCACTAGCGGTAGTAGCGGTTGTAGTTGCAGTCGTGGTAGTCGTGGTAGCAGTTCTAGCAGTGGTAGTAGTGGCAGTCGCAGCAGCAGCGGCAGCAGCAGTAGCAGTAGCGGTAGCTGTAGCGGTAGCGGTAGCAGTAGCGGTAGCGGTAGCGGCAGCGGCAGCGGCAGCGGTAGCGGCAGCAGCAGCGGCAGCGGCAGCGGCAGCGGCAGCGGCAGCGGCAGCGGCAGCGGTATCGGTAGTGGTAGCGGTAGGGGTAGGAGCAGGGGCAGGGGCAGGGGCAGGGGCAGGGGGAGGGGTAGGGGTAGGGGCAGGGGTAGGGGTTGGGGCAGGGGAAAGGGGCAGGGGTTGGGGTAGAGGCAGGGCAGGGGCAGGGGTCGGGGTATAGGGGTAGTGGTAGTGGTAGTGGTAGTGGTAGTGGTAGTGGTAGTGGTAGTGGTAGTGGTAGTGGTAGTGGTAGTAATAATGGTAATGATACGGAATGATCTAGCAATGGCAGCAGCAGTATAATACTAGCAGTCGCAGCAGCAGAAACAGTGGCAGCCGCAGTTGGTGCAGCAGCAGTGGCAGCAGCAGCAGCAGCAGCAGCAGTCATGGGTCATCACACTGGTGATGTGTGGCCGAATCAAGCCGGGTCGCGAGAATCTCTGCTGCGGTTCGTTCCTTTGGCTCGCCGTGGCTTTGATGGGCATATCCGCTAAATTTAGTCTAGCGTATAGATTTAGCCGTTAACTGTAGAACGGGTTAGGCTTTCGGGCTCTTGTTGTTCGGTCAATGTCAGATCGGGGGAAAGGACGGGGTCCCATGTCAAGGCTAGAGCTAGAGCTAAGTAGCGATCTAGTTCCAGCTGAGTTCATACCAGCCTTGACACCTGGGACCTCTCGACAGCCGGACCTTGAAGCCGCCCAGAAAACAGGCTAAACAATCAGAAGCATACCGGATGCTAGGCCCATGAGAAACAGGGGAAGAAGATTCCTACGAGTGCCTACAGAAATCACCAACCCCGAACCCTGATGCTCGACCCCAACCCCTAACCCATAACAACCTTAGAATATTGCTTGATAAGCTGTAGGCCAGTGGCGAAGCCCACTGCAAAGCAACAGCTCGGACCGCCCGCTCCGATTTCATTACCTCTGTAGAGCTTGGAGATTCTTTAGAGGGTTACTATTAAGGGTACTATAAGGGTTCCTTCAAAGCGCTCTATTCAGGGTTTATTTAGAATTTCCGAAAATTTAGGGGTACCTCATTTGGAGGTTCAAGCATAAGGATTTGCTGCTTTGTGTCAAGGAGTTTGGACCGGCTTGGCAGCTGTGGGCTTGGGGCTTTAGGATTTCGGCCTGAGTTTGAGGTTTGTCAGTTTGGCCGATTGAACTGAAAGTATGGACAGGTCAAGGAAGCATCATAAAGGATGTATTCAGAAGGTTTCGTAAATGCATGCAACCTTCAACATGAGATTGAGGTTGATACTATGCAAGAAATTTCGGAAAGTGTCCGGGCCTCAGACAGAGCCTAATGCTAAACTGCTCCCTGAGCTCCGAACCCGAAGCCCCATCAACATGGGCGAACTGCCAAGGTCTTGCAACTTTCCATTAGCCACGGCATGACTCAAGTTCAGGGGTGTAGGCTACGATGAGAATCTAGGCCTGAGGCTTGGATGCATTATCGGGTTTTAGGCAACGGGGCACACTCTTCGACGTGGCATGTTTTGGAAGTCTGAAGCAGAAGCTACCTGCAACCAGGACTGCGACGCTAAAATGGACGACGGTGACGACTGCGACGTCGAAGAAGCCGCTACTACATCTCCTACTAACACGAACAAAATCGAACAAACCTATCTGATAGGCGCAATCAAGTTCTAGTCACAAGCCGTCGAAGAACAACATGCTCTGACAAACAGAAATGGAATCTAGCTACAGGTCCCATTCCAGAGGGCTGATGTAGAGTACAGCGAAAGTTGAAATTGGAACGGTTGCAATGATGTTGCCCATGTCGATCGTGAGGAGATCACACCCCGAAGAATTCAACTTCAAGCCACCGCTTGTCCGCTATGCTATTTCTTCGGATCTCTGTTCTTTTCGCCGTGATGCGACACATAGACTCTCAGAGCATGGACTTTAAGAGAAACTTGCTTCGGCACAATCCTCACCTTTCCAAACCGCCGAGGAGCTGATGCTGGAATCTGGCGACGAGATGCCCAGACCCATGAAACTAGAGGCTGCAAACTCTGCGTCGGCGCATCACTTGACTTAGGCTTACGACTGAGTACAAGCAATGCAACACTTCCGGCATTGCCAAATAAATCGTTTCCTTGTCGCAACTTTGAAGAACTACTTTGAGCCTTTGTGATGGTGGCCCCATCATGTATGGTCTCGAGTTTGAGCCACTTCGTCTAAAGCATAGCTTGAGCCATGCGTAGCAGTGCTTTCGGTCTTGTGGGTTCGGGGTGGAGCATGCAAGGTTAATAGAGAGCCATAAGCGCAACGTTTGTGGATACGTGGTGTATGGCGCAGTGTACCTGCCCCAGCTTGAATAAAAATTGAGAGAATGTCGGAGTGGAGGGGAGCACTACAGTGATTAATCCGTGTGTTTCCACTCGTTGCACTCGCTTTGATCCATTCGTTCCTCTCGCTCCACTAGCCCTGTACGTTACCTGATCCACTCACTCCTTTGCGCGAGTGGCGCAAGTGATCAACTTCGTCAGATTTGCTTATCGCAGTTAGTTGCATCGGATCAACTTCATCAGATGTGAAATTATTTTCCCGAAAGCTCAGCGAAGGGTTCCTCAGAAAACGCTTTGCATGTTTACACTCCACACATAAACCTCGCATGCTTACACTACACGCATATACACTACACATATATAACGCCTGCCTGCACTACACAAAGAAACAACGCATACACGTACCTACACACATATACACTACACACATGTAGAACGCATGCTTACACTGCACACATAGACAACCCACACAAATACATAGCACGCTTGCATCGATATCCATTGCGATCGCACCGGAGGAAATATAAAGTAGTCCGCGCCACTCGCGCCGCTCGCACCACTCGCGCCACTCACTCCATGCCGCTCGCGCCACTCGCGGTAAAGCTATACAGGAACGAGTGGAACAGGTAAGCCACTGGCAGTCGAGCGAGTGGAACGATTGGAACAAACTGCTTCCTTGGCGCCCCCAGTGCGACCGCGCAAGGGAGGGGGGCGAGGAATTGAAACCGCTCGCGCCATTCGTGCCACTCGCACCACTCTCGCCACTTGCGACAAGCAAATACAAGTATGACGAAGTTGATCCGATGCAGATTCGGCAAATTATATTGACAAATCGTTGTCAATCAATATAATTTCGCCAAGCTTTCACAATGATTCGAACATATCTTCCAACATCAATAATGAAACGGACATCGCTGACTCCATACCCGCACCCATCCGTTTAGGCAAGGCCCCACTCGAGAATACATTAACGGCTGGGTGTGGCTTGGGGTTCCTGTAATAAGGAAAGGAGTAATGTATTCCAGACTCGTTTGCCACGTCCGGGAATGTTCGGAAACTCGCATGCTACTTTGATTCTCGTTGTGTACTACATTCGAAAATGAATAGGAGCTTAAGCTCAGGGTTTAGGGGTTTGCGGCTTCGGGTTCCCCAATAGCAGAACTCCTTGTATTTTGCTATCATGATAGTATGTTGTGAGTCATTCAAAAACTTCCGCGATAAAAGAGACTCGGAGCTTCGGAGTCAGATACCACCACCAAACAACGTGTTCTGAAGGAAGTACCTTGACTTCATACAATACCCAGGGTGCGCGATTGCAGTCTGGGAAGGTTCGGTTCGGGAGGTTTGTGTGGCGGCAAAAACAGTCGCAACCAAAAATATAGGCAAATCCCATACAATATAACGGAAATCCCAAAACTAGGAAATATAATACACCACGACCCAAAATATCAATAATCCCCAACATACGTCATGCATTTTTTTTAACAAAAACAGTCGCAGCCTTAATCAGATGGGCAAATCCCAGACAGAATATGGCCGACATCCCAAAACTAGGAAATATAATACACCACGACACAAAATATCAATAATCCCCAACATACGTCATGCATTTTTTTCAACAAAAACAGTCGCAGCCTTAATCAGATGGGCAAACCCCATACAGAATATAGCCGAAATCCCAAAACTAGGAAATATAATACACCACGACACAAAATATCAATAATCCCCAACATACGTCATGCATTTTTTTCAACAAAAACAGTCGCAGCCTTAATCAGATGGGCAAATCCCATACAGAATATGGCCGACATCCCAAAACTAGGAAATATAATACACCACGACACAAAATATCAATAATCCCCAACATACATCATGCATTCTTTTCAACAAAAACAGTCGCAGCCTTAATCAGATGGGCAAATCCCATACAGAATATGGCCGACATCCCAAAACTAGGAAATATAATACACCACGACACAAAATATCAATAATCCCCAACATACATCATGCATTCTTTTCAACAAAAACAGTCGCAGCCTTAATCAGATGGGCAAATCCCATACAGAATATGGCCGACATCCCAAAACTAGGAAATATAATACACCACGACACAAAATATCAATAATCCCCAACATACATCATGCATTCTTTTCAACAAAAACAGTCGCAGCCTTAATCAGATGGGCAAATCCCATACAGAATATGGCCGACATCCCAAAACTAGGAAATATAATACACCACGACACAAAATATCAATAATCCCCAACATACGTCATGCATTTTTTTTAACAAAAACAGTCGCAGCCTTAATCAGATGGGCAAACCCCATACAGAATATGGCCGACATCCCAAAAGTAGGAAATATACTACACCACGACACAAAATATCAATACTCCCCAACACACGTCATGCATTTTCTTAACCAAAACAGTCGCAGCCTTAATCAGATGGGCAAATCCCATACGGAAAATAGCCGAAATCCCAAAACTAGAAAATAGAATACACCACGACACAAAATATCAATAATCCCCAACACACATCATGCACTTTTCTCAACAAAAAACCCCTTGTAGAATATAGCCGAAATCCCAGAACCAACCCTTCCCACGGTATTGTCCTTAAGCTTTGATTTCTTTGAACCTGCAAAGCGGAGCATGCAGAAGTATCCGACATCGGGGGGTGCGTGCATCAGCAAATGGATACTTCTCGGCAGGCCTGGATGAGAGGTGTTTCGAGTCGTTTTCTGAAGTGTTTTCGTCTTCTCCTCACCACGGTCAAGTCGCTCGAATTTTTGGTGAGTCCTAACGCAACTTGGTCAATCCTGCTCAATCTCGCTCCTGGTGTACAGTACGCTGTACTTTTTTTGGCCTGCGCATGACGCGCGAAACATCTCACACTCCCTACTAGTGCACAGTCATCAAGCGAGCCTTGTTGTGCGACACGTCCATGACCGGCAACAGGAACGGCAGCAAGGCAAAAGTCGGCAGTGATTCTGAACGAGCATCAAACGTACACTTCCCGTGCAAGCTTCTTTGCTGCACGCAACATGTCTTACGTGGATGAACTTGCGCACTATTGTCAGTCGCAAAGAGATTCCGTTTGGTCTGCCAACACAGGGCATTTATGTTTGAAGCGCGGAGTTCACGCGCACTTGACTGGCCAAGTTCCTCTCTCTTTTGGATGAGAAATAAACGATTCAGGGATGTGACGCCAGACTGTTTATTCTTCAAATCTTCCAAAGCTCAATCGAGACACTGCTGGAGGGGGCGCACCGCCAGCGGAATCCACGGAGAGACTGCGTCTTATGTCTTCATCCGTTTACTATTTCAGAAGTGTCAGTCGGTGACAGCATCTGGATCGAATGGGGTGGGCTCAATCCATGCAAGCTTGACTCCAATGCTGCATCGTGGGTCGACTTTTTCCCGGCTGAAACTCCGCCTTGAGTTCGAGCCTAGGGGAAGTTTTGGATGCGGTTAACACCCCAAGTCACACAATTGCTTGAGTTGACCCTTGGAGTCTGTGTTAAAGCATCCAGCGCTTGACACTGGCACCATTGCCCTTGCTAGCTCTTGCCACCAAGAGAATTCTTCCCCTTGCCGTTTCTCTTTGAAACTCTCCCGGTTGATCTTCAAGGTCTGGCGCGAGGCTGCAACATGGCCAAGTCACCCCGAACTTGCACTACCTCCGTCAGTGCATCATTCAGGCTCCTTGTAGACATTGACTAAATCCGCGATCAAGCCCCAGATGTGCTTGTCTGCCGCCCTGAAGTCCTCCATATTGGGGCTGCGTGACCCCGAAGATGCTTCATGCCGCTGGCAAGCCAGTCGAACTTGCGCTCATAAAGGCGAAGGCTGGGGTGAATCCCCTTGACGAAAGCGAGTGCTGTGCTCAGCACCTCATATGCCCTGCAGAAAAGTCATGCCCACTTGGCCTTGTGGCAGCTCTCTAGACGGTATCTCGTCGTAGACCAGCTTCCAACCTCAGGATTTTTGCTGGCCTGCGCAGAGCAAAAGACTCCTCTTGGGATTTGCTCATCCGATGTTTCCAATATCCACCGCATCTCACTTGGTTTGACAAGCTTCGCAGCAAAGCTAATAAAGTTCTCCAAATGGATGCAAATATGAGAACTGTAAATCAGATCCAAGCTCAGATAAAAACCTCCAAAACCAAAGAATTCTGACAGAAAAAAAGGGCCCGAGCGCCCTCTTGATATCGGTTGAAAGAAGGGCAGGTGGAGAAGCAGCAGGAGCAGCGGACGCAGAAAAGACAGGCAACGAGCGGTAGTAGAAGCAGACTGCATGCCGGCATCGTGCCAGACGTTGCGAAAGCATCAGAGCAGATGGCCAAGCGGTACGAGGAACCGGCAGATGATGCAAACGCTCGATTCAAAGAAAACCAAGAAGCACGTCTGTGCCAATCAAAGCTGAACGTGAAAGAAAGAATCCGTCTACCGATGGAATCGAAAGAGACAAAAACCTTTTCATGATCAAGAGTCGTGAGAGTCCGAAAAACCACCATGACTCTCAATCAGAAAATAAAATTCCTTCCGCAATCAAAGAACAGGAAATCTGCGGAAATATTCGACCATCTATATTGCGGACGGGTCGCTCTAGTGATTTTCCGTTGCCGACTTCATCAGATTTTTCTTGGAAGACCGCGAACTATGCAACCCAACAGCGAGACGTCAGCTGATGTGTCCGGTGGAGGCACTCGTAGAAGGTGAGGTAATTCGTCCGGTGGCAAGCCACCCACAAACCGCCCTTCTCAAAGGCTCCAAACACTGAAAGAATGATTCAAAGATCCCGGAAGGTTCTTATCCATATGTAAGCAAACTCATTGTGGCTGACACAAAAAACTGGACCATGTGCCATCTGGAAAAATCTGCCGAAGGAAAATGTTCAGGTAATAAATTCTGAACTTTCTGCCATGCCTCTGCAAAGCCCCGCATTGGAGCCCGCTTTGGCTCGATCGCGCACCTTCAAGAATTGCAGTCCGATAAAGAGGAGAACATCATCCAAACAGTGTGTCTGAAGGATAGTGTGGGTTTTCTTGGGACGGTTGCATTGCTCATTGTTCCAAGCCGTGGATTGGTGATCGATGGGTCCAATGTCAGAATCGGATCTTGGCCGTCTCTGCGGCGATTCCATGGGGATCAACGAGGTTGGTGGTGGGTCTCAGGCTGCGGACCTTGACCGAGCACAGATTGGACCTGAACCTTGAGGCCATTCGCGGAAACTTTTTCCTGGAGATCTGTTCTGGGCTAAACCGGCCACTATCTGCTGCCCTCCTGGCAAAAGGTGTCTCCGTGCCTTCGATCGACGTTCTTTTGCATGAAGACCACAACTTGTTGAATGACTCCACCTATGCGGCTGTGCTACACACGCCTCTCCGCCTTGCACGGAGTACTCCAGGCTCAAGCTCCGGGCGGACGGTGGACCCAGGGCGATTCGCACTCCAGAACACATGTCTGGGGTCTGGGGTTCCCGATTTGAGTCCGTCAGAGCGTCAACGTCTGGAACAAAGCAAGCAAGTTCTGGTTCGTACAATAAATGTGCTGCTGGCAACTTACTGCGCGGGCGGGCATGTTAGTTTGGAGAACCCTTTGAACAGCATGGCATGGTTGGAACAGGAATCCAGGGATTTTCTGCAGCACATCAATGCGGACCTGAACTGTGTGGCTGCTTGTTGCTACGGTATGGATATACTGAAGCAGTGGTGTTTCGCATGCAGTTTTCGGGATTTACAGCAGATTTCGTGCAGCTGCCCACACGATCCGCAGTCGCATGCGCAAGTGGCAGGGGTCGTTGACGAAGACGGAGTTTACGCTTCAAGAGCCACGCAGAAGCTGTTCTTCCATTGTTCGAAACTTCCAGCAAGCCGTGTACCATTTCGCTTGATCAGGTTAAGTTTCTTCGCATTCCCAAAACCAAGGAGGAGCTTCCTCGAAGCACACAGGACGGGGGGGGGGCATTTACTCAATGCCGGATTGGAGCTTTCCTCCGAGTGGCTGCAAGGACCTCCTGGGGGGTGTGCGTAAGCAGCTAGTGGAATACCTTTTCCACATCAGAGCCCCGTTGCGATTGCGGGCCCATGTGGAGTCTGAGAGCGAACTCCCTCTTTTTACAGAGACTGAGGCTGACTGAGCAGCAGTTCAGGGAAATCTGGCAGCAACGGTTCATGAAACAAGGCGTGCAATCAATTGATTGGAGTGTGGCACAGCATCAGCCTTACTCGCTGCTGGCTCTGCAAAGCCTTTCACGGGTTTTGCAGGACAGAGACGAAGAACTTTTTCAAGCCTTGATTGCGGGCGTTCCTACAGGATTCTTCTCAGATATCCCGTCCAGTCATGTTTTCGTTCCGAGGCACAAGGATGATTCTGCAGAAACCCCGGCGGAAGCTCGTGATCTGTGATCGCAACTGGAAGGGGGCCAGGGATAATCCTACCATCCTATCGGAGCTGATTGATGAGATCACGGAGGGTTTTCTTGAAGAGCTTGATCTTGCTTCAGCTCAGCAGCGTTGGGAGAACATCGCAGTGGCCAAGCTCAACGTTGTCTTGGCGGACAATCGCAAGCCGCGCTTAATCATGGATGGGACGGTTTCTGGGGTTAACTCGTCTTGTTTCTTGAATGAGCGATATTGTCTTCCCTCGCTCAAAGACGTGCGATCGGCGTTCCCGCTCCGCATGAACAATGAGGACTTGTCAGCATTCAGCTTGGACATTCGTGCGGCTCACAAAACGATTCGCATTCGAAAGAAGGACCGGGGTTTGGCAGGGATCAAGCTTGAAGATGGCCGACACCTGTGGTACCGAGTGTGCCCATTCGGCACAGGTTTCAGTGCTCTGTGGTGGGCACGATTGTCCGCTTTCATGATCCGAACCTTTCATCTTTTGATCTGGTTGTGTCACGCTTTAGGCATCTTTGTCGACGACCTATTGCTGTGGCAAGGTGACAAAGCAATTGAGATCTCAGGCTGCCTCATCCTCAGTTTTTGCCAAGCTTACAATGTGCCGCTATCGTGGCACAAATTGCAGTGCGGGTATAAAGTGAAGTGGATAGGATGGTTGTTCAATTTCAGAGCAGGGACGTTCAGTCTGCCAACCGACAAGATTGAAAAGATTCTTCGATCAGTGCGGGTTGTTCTGCGACCGGGCAATGTGGATCGCTGCGATCTTGAAAAAACGGTGGGTCTGCTTCAGTGGGTGAGCCAGATATCTCCTGAACTCCGCCCCTGGATGGCGTTCTTGTATGCAGATCTGCATAGGCCTGTAGCAACAAACCATCATGTGGACTCCGGCGAGTGGCACTTGCTGCACGAATACTTGGATGACAACCTGCGGTTCACTAGCCAACCTCCGGGCACGGCTATTCCACGGGGTGCTCGTCTCTTGTCGACAAGACACATTGAAATGCACACCAAGCAGGACTTGGATAAAGTTCCACTGACTTCACGTCGGGTCTATATGCGTATCTCCGATCCCAGACATCGCAAGATTTCAGAGTGTAGCCGCAAGTTCATGGAGTTTTGGGAAGCGTGGTGCATGCGCAGCCCATTGGAGCAGTGCCTGCACCTTCCTCCACGGAGCATTGCTTGTACCTTGGCTGCGGATGCTTGTGCTCAGGGTTCTTCTATAGGCATAGGTGGTTTCCTTCGGGTTGAGGGCTCACCCGTCTTATGGTTCAGCGAGCGCTTTGAGAAATCGGATTTCGATGGTTTGAACATCCCTCTCGACAATAACACGCAGAAGAACATTGGTTGCTGGGAACTCCTGGCTCAGATTGCTCTTGCATTTCTTTTCGCAGAGACTTGCCCGGGCGGCCGCTGCAGGATTCAGCTACGTACTTTCTGCGACAACGCTTCGGCGCAGGCATCAGCAAATCGTTTGATGACGACATCATCCCCGCTCTGTTTCTTCGCTCAGCAACTGGCATTTGTCGCCTTTCGGCATGGGATTACCTTGGATGTGCACCGCATTTCAGGCTTCCGGAACGAGGAGGCAGATTACCTGTCCCGCTGGAACGGCACGGACCCTCTGGTGCCCGAGTTTGCTGCAACCTTTCGCTATCGATACCCGGTCAAGCGCATGTGGCAGTCCCCTGCGGGCACGCGTCTCCTGTGGAGTCCTCCTTGATTGCAGCCAGTCAGTCGTAGCACGATTTCAATTGGGGGCTTTAGTCCCAGCGCTCCTCCTTCTTTGGCTGTGGCAGATCTTTAGGGGGGATGCATCTCGGTAAATCCGTCAAGATAATAGGATTCATAGCACCATAAAGTCTCTGACAAATTCGCGTTCTTTGACTTTCCATGCTGTACATGCTGCCACGCTGGTCCAGCAAGGTGCGTTCGGAAAATGACGCTTACAGAACGAGCGGAGTCTATCATCCCATCTTGTCAAGGGGCCAAGGGGCGACCAGGACGGCGAGACGGACATAAAGTAAAGTTCTCTGTCCAATTCATTGCCGGATGCCACGTGCAGACGTGTCGTGCCCAGCTATCGGATTCAGCAACTTGGGATGCAAAATGGTACTGACGTCTGGCCAATCTTGTTGTCCACATTTCCACCGGATACTGCTTGAGGGCCTGTTCCACACGCAATTTCATACGTTTCATAGTCTCAGGCCACGGTTCGTCGGACACGCGGGTCCATCCTACAATGGACCTAAGCATGCGTCGTAGTACAATATCCAACTTTTGTAACTGCTGTTGTGTCAATGAAAGAGTGTGCAACCCATATAATACAGTCGGCGTCACGGTTGCATCGAACAGCTTCAACCGGAGTTTGATGGATACATGTCTGTTTGTCAGCACCTTACGGTGCAATTGGAACTTGTACCATGCCACATGTATTCTGTGATTCAATTCGGTGATGTGTCGCTGAAACAAGTTGCCATCCAAATGCCTTCCCAAATACTTATGCACAGAATCGGGCATGAGAACCTCTCCACCATGTCGCCACAGATGTCCAGATACAAAGCCGATTCAACATCAGAAGTTGTGAATACCTTGGTTTTGTGCGTGGGCTCAACTGAAGCCCAATTTTGCCGAGCTCTTGAATAAGACTTTCCATCATGAACACCAGTTCATCGGACGTCTTTGCATACAATACGATGTCATCTGCATATCTTACATTGGTCAGTCGTTCAGGGAGGCCAACATGCAAACCTTGTGATCTCAATTTGGCTTTCCAGTTCCGAAACGCATGCTCCAACCCAGCGTTGAATAAGCTTGGGCTCAATACATCGCCTTGCTTCACTCCGCGTTCGATTCGAAACTGTCGCCCGTCTTTCAAAGAGCCAGATTGGAAGTGATACGGCGTCGACAGTAAGCTAAGATATGATAATGGCACACCTTGGTCAGACAGGGCATGGAAAAGCGAATCAAACTCAATCCGATCAAAGGCCTTTCGCAGATCAAGGCTTGCGATCCATAGCGGCTCTCTCCATTCAATGCATTTCCCAACCATTGTCTCCAAAACTGCAAAAGCATGATCGACTCCAAGTTTGTGACGAAAGCCCACCTGATCACGGCTTTGTCCTTTATCCAATAACGGGTGAATGCGCCGGTGTATCAACTTGGCAAATATCTTGTACGTAATTCGTAAGACTGCAATAGGCCGCCAATTCGAAACTTCAGCAACATCACCTGGCTTGGGGATCATTTTAAACAATGATTCTTGCCAAGACGGCTCCAAACATTGATCACGCAACAGTCGATTGTAGATGCCAAGTAAAGCCTCATGCAGTGAACGACCTCCGTATTTGAACATCTCTAACACCAGCCCCAAATGATCCCCACTTTTACGGTTTCTCATCGACTGTAGTACACTCGTCAGCTCGGAGAGCTTGAAGGGGGGAATGTCGGCAAACGATGCGTCATAATGCAAGCCATGGTGTGCTGTCAAATGGTCTCGGCGGTCAGACTTGAAAACATCACTCAAGCTCTTCGTGAAATTTTCAGTGCTTGGCATTTTGCTGTTGTCCACATGCGTACGAAGAACGGGGTCCTGAAATGCTGCATGCATTCGGTCCAAGTCCGTGAAGTCGTCCAAAATTGAGTTTAACTTCTTGTTCAGCTTTTGGCGCTGGTATTTACGCAACGTCTTCCGGATCAGCTTCGACAGAATACGGCGTTCGGACACATTTTTGCAAGCTCTCCTGTTAGCCAACAATGTTTGAAAATCATGCTGCTTCCAAGGTTCAATCGAGACATGGTCATGTTGTAGCATGTTGTTGGAAATGGCCGCGGAACGAACAACATGCTCAAGCTCCTCGATGTTCTCAGGCTTCGTCGTTTGCAACTTGTTCTGTGCTGGTGCTTACGAGTTCTCTTGGCGGGAGCTTGTAGTTCACTTGGCACCCTTTTTCCAACGGTGCATCAGGATGCTATCCTCCCTTCCAGGATGTATATTTGAGATATTGTTTCCTTAATAGTTTGTTACTTACACAGCTGTTTACAACGGAAGGGGGGGATGCATCTCGGTAAATCCGATACTTCGGTATCTTGCTTAACTCGAATGCTTTACCGCCGCCGCCAAAAGAAGGAGGGGTCCGAGTGTAGTGCGTTTGCGAGACCGGATGAATATTTCATAAGTTCATACCCAAGATATTGCGATTCTGAAATATATATTCTCGGACTTTTCCTTATGCTATTTGGAACTTTGCTTTACGAATATCTGGTCTTTTCCTCGTGGTATGCCGACGGCTGTTGTGAAATACAAAACGATACTTGTGCTTGCTCATGCTTGTTTTTATGAAACAACAACGCGGTTTTTATGCAACTCATCTTGATCGCGTTTGACATTCCTTTCACAACAGCTGTCGGCCCGAAGAGCAACATGTCGAAGCACATGTTTTTCGCAAAGACCCCACCCTCCCACCCATGAGTGACGTGTGCTCATGTCGTCTTTGCTTGCATTCAGCGGTACTCTTTCTATCTTGCGCCTATCGGGCATAACTGTGTGTGCGCCAAAATTTTCTCCAGGCTTCACATGTGTGAGGCGGTTGGACTCGGTGTGCGTCACCCTAGTCACTGCGTCGGCTCTGCGAGCCAAAGTGCTGGTGCTTACGAGTTCTCTTGGCGGGAGCTTGTAGTTCACTTGGCACCCTTTTTCCAACGGTGCATCAGGATGCTATCCTCCCTTCCAGGATGTATATTTGAGATATTGTTTCCTTAATAGTTTGTTACTTACACAGCTGTTTACAACGGAAGGGGGGGATGCATCTCGGTAAATCCGATACTTCGGTATCTTGCTTAACTCGAATGCTTTACCGCCGCCGCCAAAAGAAGGAGGGGTCCGAGTGTAGTGAGTTTGCGAGACCGGATGAATATTTCATAAGTTCATACCCAAGATATTGCGATTCTGAAATATATATTCTCGGACTTTTCCTTATGCTATTTGGAACTTTGCTTTACGAATATCTGGTCTTTTCCTCGTGGTATGCCGACGGCTGTTGTGAAATACAAAACGGGCTTGTGCACATTGTTCGGCAAGCCGGCCTTGCACCAGCTGCAGCAGTGCTTGTGCGGGGCCAGGCAGACTCGATCACTGCAGCTTCGGCAAGCTCGATGCCCGGTATGAGCCATGTTTCTGCAGCGATTGGGTCGAGAAGAATGTTCCAGCCGAGCCCTATCAGGAGCCAAAAAGCCAGAACTCTCGGAAACATGCACCAAGCATCTATCCATGCAGTACAAGTCAACATCAACTAACCTAGCTTTCGTGTCAAAAGCATGTATGCCATGCTGCCTCCTCTGCAAGACATGCGGCGGACGTTTGTATGCATGCTCTCTGCCAGCACCAGCAGATGTCGATCCTGCAAGTTGTCTGCAATCTATTTATACATGGGCACCACACACGACCGAGAACCCGTGCTAAAAAATCATCTCCCCTCAGCATTTTTGACACGCGCCCACTCATGAATCCATTCCTCGGCATTAGCTTCCTCCACGTTGCCAGCGGTGAGCTCGGCAGTGAGGGCAGCTGCAGCAGCACGAAGCTGCTTCTCCGTCCATCCAGGCCACCTGAAGGCGAAGATCTGCTTTCTGCCGTTTGCCACCATCATCGCGAGCGAACTTCAAAATGCCCATGGAGCCTGTCCCTTTGCTGTACCACATGGTGCCCCAGCTCTCGATTTCACGACCTTGCCAAAAGGTCTCACCCAGCGCCTGCTTGGGGTCAGGGCCGGCCGGTCGCGCAACAGCTGTTTCCTCGGCCTCGTCTCATCGGTCGACCTCCTCTGCAGGAGGCAGGGCTGCCACAGCAGCGGGCCTTTTCAAGCATGCACTCGCTTGAGCAGCTGTGGCTGCAGCTTTGCCCTTGGCTTTTGCCTTCCCCTTGGCTGCAGCCTTTTTCTTGGCTGCAGCCTTGCCCTTGGCTGCAGCTTTGCCTTTGGCCTTAGGAGTCCTTTTGGGTTCAGGACCTGCACCACTCCTTTCCCAAAGCAACACGGTGATCTCGGTCGTCTGTATCGCTTCACCAGGAAACTGTGCTCTCATGAAGCCATCGTTGTGGGGAGTCATCGAGGCCTCCACAATCTTGCCTTTCTCCACAAGACAGTTACGATTCACATCGTAAGTCTCATGCTTCTGTTCGGCCACCTTATTTGCGATCTTCTGAGGCTTCTGCGAGCTTCCTGACGATGCCGGTTTTTTCTGCGAACTTGATGGCACCGGCGGCGACTGAAGATCCTCGGCATCCTCGGGATCGTCCCCGATGATCTCCACATCGTCATCATCGTTGATGCACACGATTCCGCCATGCACCATGACAGGCAGCTGTATCCCGTAGGATTTTGCCAGCGAGTTGAGTTCATCCATCGGCCCTAGGTGCAGAGCTCTGGGCTTCTGTGTTCGAGTTCTCACTGCACCTTCGCTTGAGCACTCGAGCCTGCTGCTGGCCGTTTATTCCAATGGGGACGCCGCTTGCTGATGTGGCCGCGTGGTGCCCCAACTGCGGCCGTTCAGGGTCAGCTTGGTTGGTTTGATGCCCATTTCTCCCACTTACTAAGTGCTGCGGGGTTATGGGCACGCCTACTCTCCATCCCAGGCAGATGTATAGCCGCAGAGGTTGCGCGTATTGCCTCTGAATGTCCCGGTTCTTGGGTTCATAGTCTCCAAAATGAGCTGATTCCGCTCGGTGTTTCTCATCCAGAAACTTGGAGTGTAGGACGTGGTGCTAGCCAATCAGTGGTTCGACGCTGGTTGCGCCATGTGCGTACCGTGTTAGTTTCGCATGCCAATGCGTGGTACTCCGCTGCAGTCCGCGGCATTGAAACTCTGCACGATTATGCACAGTGGCAGCCGCACCTCGGCTTGCACCCAGTGGTTTATGGCCGGCGCGTGTCTCCTGCACATGCTCGCTACTGGGGGTTAGCTCGTTGTGGGCATCACCCCTTCTGTGATGGGCGAAGCGCTCGCCATCAAAGCATTGCAGCCAGACCTTGTCGGTGTTGTGCTGGTCACTCAGACACTCTTGCACATGCTCTCGTTCATTGCTCAGCGCACCAAGCCTTGCGAGAAAGGTGGCGTTCTCGAGCCAGATCGGGGCGAACGTTGAGTTTGTCGACGCTGTTCTGCACCTCCGCCGTCACCAATCGTGCTTGTGAAATTGCCAACAACGTGTCCTTTGTCGCTAGCGTGTGCCAGGCCGCTGAAGCGTGTGAAATGTGAACGCTTGTGCTGGACAACTGTGAGTGTGAGTGGCTTGACGTTGTAGTCGTAGTTATTCTTGTGCAGTTGTACAAACGCTTTTTGCTTAGTTGTGTAGTGTTTCACGTTTTGACCATGCCTCATGGTCGTTCAAGGACAGGACTCTGGCCGAACTTGCCCAACACGACCTGCTTGGACGAGACGGGGGTTAACACGTGCAGGAATCTGCGGATTGCTGGGCTCATCTTCTTCATTGAGCTGACCTGCTGCTGCTTCTGGTAAAGAAATTGGCATGTGGAAACAACCCTCTTGGAGAAATTCTCTATGACACCTTTGTCTCCATCTTGAAAAGCTAGCTCAGCGGCGGTTGATAGGAATTTAATGGTCGGCCTCGGCGTGGTTAGCAACAGCTCCCGAAGCAACAACTCTTTCTGCTCCGCGAATTTGTCATTCTCGGTGCTGAACTCGACTCCTTTCGCAAGGCCTTCAGGCACACCCGCTTTCAAAAGATGGACTATGTCTTTGGCATCTGCCGTGTTCTTTCTGCGAGGGCTCGTCATACTGCTCCGAGCTTGACATAGGCTTGAGCATGCATATACAACTCGGATCGATCACATGCATGCATGCCATGAGCCACATGCATGCACAAGCATGCATGCTAGCTGCTCATCAGATCATATAAATTTAACATCAACATCATATATCATCATGCATCATCAAGTACATATATATATATATATATGCAAAACCTTGCTTAAATAGCTGTCTCACCATGCGTACATGGTAAAAAATGACATTATTTACGATGTTTTCTTAATTAACAACTATATTCCTTAATTAGGTGTTGTTATGCCTTAATTAAGTTGTTTTGCGCGAAAACTATTTAAATCAGGAAAAACTCTCTAAATAGAAATAAAACCTTGCTTAATTAACCTTTTCATGTGTCGAATACGCTGTGTTTCCTTAATTAAGCTATATTGGATGTCACGAAAGAGTTGTGGCCAGCGTGTTACGCGGCGGTGAGGGTCGTAAAAAGAACACTCGCACGATTTTTCAACACCAGCCGAGGCTAGTGTTGATGTCCTCCGTTGGACGGACTTTCCCCAACACGGACCGGCTTCCACTGGGCTTCCGCCACTGACGGAGTTGTCCCCGATATCCCGTTCACCAGGGACGGCGACACTCTGCTTTTCTTTCGCGTTTTCATCCGCCGCACAGCTGCGGAGCGCCGGGTATTCACTGCCAGTTCCATTGCTGCTGGGCTCGCCCTCGACTCCGGGTGTTGCTCTTTCGTTGTTTGCGGCGTTACGCGGCTTTCCCGTTGACCACGTCGCGCGGTGGCCTAGCTTTGCCACGAGGCTGGAGTTAGAGTTGCCAGAAACGTGTTTCCAGACATGGTGAGTGTCGTTGAGTGTCCAGGAGCGTCGAAAAGAGGTTATCAGCGATGGTTTGCCGTTGCGGTCCTATTTGACTCCTACAACTCGTGACGCCAACACGCCGCCCTCCAGCAGGGTGTAAGTTACGCGGCGGGGACGCATCCGCCAACAGGTCGGCGCCGTCGCACTCGTCCGCTCCCGCCAGTGGCAACTCGAGCAAGGAGTGGGCCAGCGCACGCTGGGCCGCCACCGCCAGCATGCCCGTCCAACAATGCAACGCGGCACGTTGCACGGCCGAGCGTGACCGCGCTGGCGACTCACGAGCGCGAGCTTTGGCCAGCTGTCGCAAGAAGGCAGCAGCCTCTCGGCTAAACCTGCCGCCCACCGAGGCCCAGCACAACGAACTTGCAACCGCGAGCGACTGCAAGTTCAGGGTACGTGCACAGGCGTTTGCGTCTCGCCGGTTGCTCAAGTGCCGTGCCTGCGACACGATCGGCGTGCAGCTGCGCGTTACCCGCCCGCGTGACTGGTGACAGCAAAGTGGTGTCGACAGCCGCCTGCGGGCCCTGCCAAAAGGGTAAAATTAAAGTATTTGCTAAGGCCTCGATGCGGCGGCCGTCAGTCAAGGGCACATCAACATTCAGGTCCCGTAGGAAGACAGTGGTGGCCCTCTCCAACGCTGCCCCACGCGTGCCAAGCACACCGGCGGTCGGGCAAGCTGCGCGAGGGTGCTCGAGAGCGTCGAGGTCATCTCCGAAACGGCATCGGCGGGGCCCGATAGGCACGGGTAGCCGCAACTTTATGAGCAACAGCACGCGAAAGCAAGAGTGCAAGAGCTCGAAAGTCTGAACTCCGGAGCCGTGGGCAAAGCGGTTAGGGCACGTGAGCCACTTGGGCCTGCGTGGGGCAACATTGACGCGCCCGAAGCCGAAACAAAGGTCAGAGAAAAGACTCGCGTCGGCGCAGCCTTGGTCGCGGAACGCCGAGCCAAACACACCGTGATATCGACCCCCGGGCACCCGGGGCTTTGTCATCCCGCGCGCACGTTTGAATGTTGGGGCTAGTCAACCCACCGCGGGACCGCAAACCCAGCCTCGGCGAGAGCGTCGGCAGCATGCAAGAGGTCCTGTACCGGCGACCACTCAACAACCCTGCGTGCATCAAGGGCAGGCACCAAGGCGTCAACCAACTGCGCGTCCCGCGTACGAAGGACGGGAACAGCATCAGCCGAGGAAGCCCAAAACGCAACCGTCGCGTGCAGGGCAGCACTGCGAAGGCCGAGACCACCATCACGGAGAGCGAGTTGCGTGACACGCGCTGTGGCAGGCGGCAGGGTGGACTCCTCAGCAAGTAACAACGTGCCCAAGGCAGCGAGCACGCGGGCATCGTGTGCAAGTGCAAATTCCCGCGTCAAACGGGGAGCGAGAGTACGGAGTGCAAACTGGGCGCGGGGCGCCGCTGTGTACAAGACCTGGGTGTCTCCGAGTCGGGGCAACGCCGTGAGGAAGCCCTCATGCCGATCAGAGAGAGCCTGCAAGTGCCTTGCGATAAAGCCTGGCTCGCCAAAGGGGGTACCGAGGAGCACAAGACCTCGCAAGGACGGGTCCGAACCAAACACGGGCGTCTGGTGAGAACTCAGAGAGTCCCTCCGGAGCAAGGCCAGCTGCATTCCAGATTGCGGTTTTGGCAACGTTGAGATGCAAGTGGGTATGACGGGCGAGGTGATGCTCAAACCGACGGACCAAATGCAACACACGCTGGGGCGAGGCAAGGATGGTGACATCATCGAGATAGGCCAGCACACACTCCCCGAGGTCAGTACGGAGCTCACGCTGCAGGTCGTGGAGCGCCGGCTGCAAACCCAAACAGAAGAACGCTGGGCTCAAGAGGTCCCCTTGCTCGACACCTTCGGCCTGACGGATGCGACGCGTAGTGGTGCCTGGTTGCTACATGAAGGATGAAGAGCGACCCAACCAAAGCTTAGCAAACGGAAGCAGGGCGGCTGCAGCGGGAAGGGGCCGCAACGCTTGCAGGATCGACTGGCGGCTGATACCGTCGTATGCGGCGGACGCATCCAAGGAAACAACAGTCAGGCTGGGGTCACGCGCGCACCGAGCCTGCACAGCATGCACCAGCGCGTCCCAAGCCGGCGCGGTTGCCTAGGGCATACTGATGGAAGCAAGCAGCTTCGACGGCGCTTGCCAGTGCCCCGCTGCTCGCGCTTTCGACGGCCGAGCTGCTGCTGAGCATCGCCGCCCTGTTGGTCCTGCCGAGCTCGCACTCCTTGACTCTCAAGCCGGCCCTTTCGGCGCCCGGGTGTGCGCTGTGCGTCCCACTGCGCCTGAGCTTGTCCTTGACTCTGCAGTCTTTCGGGTCCTACTTCTTCGTCGCTTGCGGCTCCCGTTGCTTCTTGCACGTGCACGATGCCGTTGACGGAGGCCGCTCGATGTCTTGGGTGACCACGTCGCTGCCTGTCCTCGGTTTGGTTTTCTTCGCGCACTGGGCGTTCCGCTCGAGCGTGCAGCGGCTCGGGTTTGCCGTGAGGTTGGCGCTGCAGTTGCCACCAACGTCCTTGTCCGTGACCTCCACCTCTTCACGTCCTTGCACATTCGGCTCCATGCCGGCAAAACCCGTGTTTGGAATTCTGCTGGTGTACGCCCGCCCCATCTCCCGCCCCCTCCCGACGGGTGCACCAATTGGGTTGGTGACCCAGCCCTTCCCCCGCAAGACCGTGGTTTGCGTGTCCTCGGCAGCCCCCTTGGAACGGACGAGTACGTCGCTGCGCAGCTCCAA